ACGCCGCGAGATGGACGCGTTTGCCGCCACCGAGTGGCGGGGCCTGCTCGCCGGCCTCGAGCGCGAGCGTGCGCTGCTGGCGCCTGACCGACGGCGGCCCTGCCCCGCTCTGGAAGCTCGACTCGACCGAGGGTCCTGCCCGAGTGCGGCTCAAGCTGCAGCAGCTGCCGCTCCAGGAGAAGGAGACGGACGAGGCCCCCTATCGGCCAGAGTCGACCGTCGGTGGCGATACCATGCCGTCTTCGCCCATCGAGCTGGGCCATGGCGACGAGTGGGGCAGCGCCGACGCGGGTGCGCTGTCGCTTTCTCCGTCCTCAGGCGCTGCTGCCCTTCCCCCTGCGCCCGTGGCTCCTCCTCACCACCGGGCCGGCGGCGCCACCACGACCTCGGAGTCTTTCAACCCAGATGCACAGCCTGTGTCCAACGCTGCCGCCACCGCCGCCGCCGCAGCAGCAACAGCAGCATCGACCTCTGCCAGCTCCCTGCACGACGATGGCGCGGGCGAATCGGGCGAGTCGCACCACGAGGACAAGTACCGGCGCGTCCTGCGTTCGCTGGAGCGCGGCGACATCATCGAGGCGGTCTACAACACGTCCCGCGTCGTCGGCATCGAGTCGCGCGGCTGCCTGTTGATCCTCGGCAGGACGTCGATCTACCTGATGGACGACTACTTCCAACGTCCCAACGGAGAGCTGATCAACGTGTGGGAGGCGCCTCCCGAGGAGCGGGACACGCTCGTCATGGCGACGCTCTCGTCGGATGCCTCGCGGCCCTCGGGCCTGATCGCCCAGCTCGAGGGCGATGCCCAGACACGCAAGTGGCCGTGGTCGGCGGTGCAGATCTGCCACCGTCGGTCCTGGCTGCATCGTCGGACGGCGGTCGAGATCTTCTTTGAGGACGGCCAGAGCTGCCTCCTCGTCTGCCGCCAGACGGTGACGGCTCAGAAGCTGTACCAGGAGCTGCGCCAGCGTGCACCTTCGGCCGTGTCGGCGGCCGAGGCGATGCGCGAGGGTATCCGCGAAGGCACCTCGGGCGCATCCGGCGGTGGCGGCAACAGCATCAGCCTGGGCTCGCGCCTCGCCGGCGCCGTGCTCGGGCGGACGCAGCAGTGCGGAGCGCTGACGGCAGCCTGGCGCGACGGCCGGATCAGCAACTTTGCCTACCTGATGGACCTCAACACGCTGGCAGGGAGGTCGATGAACGACCTGACCCAGTTCCCGTGCTTCCCCTGGGTGCTGGCCGACTACCACAGCGTCGAGCTCGACCTCACCGATCCGGCCACGTTCCGCAAGTTCGAGCTGCCGATGGGCGCGCAGACGGCACAGCGGCGGCGCGAGTTCGAGGAGCGCTTCGGCCAGCTGGTCGAGGTCGACATGGAGCCGTTCCACTACGGCACGCACTACTCGACGGCGGCCACGGTGTGCGGCTTCCTGATCCGGACGCGGCCGTTTGAGCGCCTCTACATGGCGCTGCAGGGCGGCAACTTTGACCTGGCCGACCGCACTTTTAGTTCGATTGGCAAAGCGTGGGCCTCGGCGTCGGAGCTGTCGCGCGGCGACGTCCGCGAGCTCATCCCCGAGTTCTTCTACCTCCCCGAGTTTCTCGTCAACTCGAACCGCTTCGAGTTTGGCGTGACGCAGGCGGGCGAGGTCATCGACGACGTCGAGCTGCCGCCGTGGGCCAAGGGCGATCCGCTCCTGTTTGTCCAGAAGCACCGCGAGGCGCTCGAGTGCGAGTACGTCTCGCAGCGCCTCCACTCGTGGGTCGACCTGGTGTTTGGCTATCGGTCCCGGGGTGCCGAGGCCGTGGAGAGCACCAACGTCTTCCACCCGCTCAGCTACGAGGACGCCGTCGACCTCGACTCGATCGAATCGTCGATGGAGCGGCAGGCCGTGGCCCAGGTGATCCACAACTTTGGCCAGACGCCCTCTCGGCTCTTTTCGCAGCCGCACCCGCAGCGCAGCCGCAGCGAGGTGGCGACGCTGCCGGTGGGCGAGCGCTTTGGCGTGCTCGAGCATCCGCTGCTGCTGATCCAGAGCGTGGCGCCGATCCGCAGCCTCAAGAACGCGGTGCACTTCATCTACCCGCACCACCCGGAAAAGGCGTTTGCGTCGCCGCGCGACTACCTCATCCTGCCGCACCTCGGCGTCTCGCTGTCGCTGGGCCACCTCGACGGCAGCGTGCGCATGTTTGGCGCGCGCGACGCCAAGCGGCCGCTGGCGGTCGTCGAGCAGCTGACGGCGGAGCGCATTACGTGCATCGCCCAGGCGCGCTCCAAGGCGTTTATCGCGGGCAGCGCCGACGGCGTCGTGTCGGTGTGGACCGTGGACACGGCGGCCAGGGAGCTGACGCTGGCGAACGTGCTGCGCGGCCACGACCGGTCGGTGCTGTGCGTGGCGGCGTCGTCGGCGTGGAGCATCGCCGTCAGCGGCTCGCAGGACCGGACGGCCATCGTGTGGGACCTCAACCGCGGCAGCTACGTGCGTACGCTGCGCGGCCACGACGTCGGGGTGCAGCACGTTGCCATCGACGACAAGGTCGGCTGCATCGCGACGGCGTACGGGCCCGGCGTGCGGCTGTGGTCGATCAATGGCGAGCTGCTGGCGTCGGTGGCGACGAGCGCCAGCATCCTCGAGCCCATCTCGAGCCTGGCGTTTTATGAGCGAGACTACCACGTGGGCCGCCTCGCCGTGCTCCTCACTGGACATCGGGGCAAGGTGGTGGCCTGGCAAGCCGTCTTTGACGACGATGGTCACGACGTCGGAGAGGATGGCCGGCGCACCGGTTCGAGGCACGGGCTCAAGTCGTCGAAATCGACCAACTCTCTCGGCGCCGGCGCCGCCACCGGCACCGGCGGCCCAGGTGAGGCGGCCCAGCAGGCGTCCGAGGGGCACTCGCGCAGCAGGAGCAAGGCGGGCGGTAGCGGCGGCGGCAGCGGATCTGCTCTACCGCCAATGCCGTCGTCGAAGACCAAGTGGAAGCTGGAGCGATTCCACGTCCTGCAGCATCAGGAACGGCTTGGAGCGGCGGCGGATGCGACCTCGACCTCGACCTCGACCTCAACGACCTCAACGACCTTGACGACGACGATGACGGCGCCGCTGATTACGGCCATCAGCAGCACGCGGCGGATGGTGCTGACGGGCGACGAGGTGGGGCGTCTGTACCTGTGGACGCTGACGGGCGATGCGGTGGGCGTGCCCGACGGCTTCTCGAGCCGCTGTATGAATGGCGGGTGCGGCCGGCGGTTTGGCGTGCTCGAGTCGCGGCGGACGTGCGGCGGGTGCGGCGGCCTGTTTTGCAACGGCTGCGCCGCCCACCACCGCCAATTTGCCACGTCGATCCGCTTCTGCCCGAGCTGCCACGCCGTCGTCGACTCGGCGCCCTACTTTTGACGTGGTCGCGGCCTCGTGCGGGACGAGGTGTTGGATCAAAGGTCAGCGGGCGGGCAAGCAGCCGAGCAGGCAAGATAGACATGCAAAGCAGCAGCAGCAGCAGCAGCAGCAGCAGCAGCAGCTAGCATTTCATCGAGATCAACTACTACACATGCGCGCAGGTTGGGAGCTGAGCGCGGGCGATGTGGCCATGTGATGTGGGTTGCCCCCTGCTAGCGGTACAGTCCGAGATGCGGGCGCAGTCACCAAGAGGCCGGGCCGGGGCTAGCCATTATCAGGCAAGGAGGAGAGAAATGACGTTGGCGGCGTGTCGTGGGCCGTTCCTGGTCTCGTTTGCTGCTGGTGGCAAGGCCAGGGCGGCTGACGGAAGCCGCGCGCCCGCCGCCGCGTGGCCTGCTTGTGGTCGGGCTTGGCCAGGCTTGGCTCTAACGTGACGGGCCTACAGCTTGGGTTGCACCAAGACGAGCGTCGGCCCTCGGTCTCGGAAGGCGAGGCAAAGGAGGGGCCGCCTGCCCGCCTGCCCGCCTGCCCGCCTGCCCGCCTGCCCGCCTGCCCGGGTTGATGAAGTGAGCGTCGGGTCGGGCGAATGGAGGGCCGGGCGTGGAAAGCCGGCGCTGCTGTGATAAGACTGAGACTGAACCGCCTCGCTTGTGAGTGGGCCTGGGCCTGGCGGGTGAGCTCTATCCCCCCCTGTCTGTATGCCTCCTCCCTGCCGCTTGCTGCCAGCACCACCTGGTTCTGCTACCGGTACCGGTACTCTAGAGATGGGGTACCGTGCAGTATCTCCGGCCTTGTACCCCACCGTGGCATGGCCTGAGGTTGTGCAACGAGCGAACCAACAAGGCTAGGTCGCCTGCGTCGGCGTCGGATGACGACTTGATGAGCGGCGGTGTGCCCGCCACAGAGCCGTTGCCATACGATGGGCCAGCGACAGAGGCCGTCCGTCGCCCTTTCCAATTCTTGATTGCCAACGTCACGCACGGGTCTGAGCTGCCGCGTTGCGTTGCGTTGCGAGGCCAGGCCAGGGGGCGAATGGCCTGTTTCCAGCTGCGAGGCAGGGCTTGCAATTCGGGGTCTCGACTTTGACTTGGACTTCGACCTCGACCCTCGACCCCTCGACGTCGGACCTCGTCGACCCTCGGTTCGGCTCTCTTCTGACCTGACGCTCAAGGCTGCTGTGCCCACCCCGCCTGGCCCATCCACGGCCCGCGCCGCTGCTGCTGCTTAGCTTTGCCTGGCCTGGCCTGGCCTGGCCTACCTGCCACAACTGCCGACTGCCGACGACGGTGGCCAATTTCCGTCCCCGACGACCATCACCCGCGCCACCACCATCATCACCGCACCATCGCACCACCTCATATCGCACATATTCCCCCTTCTTCGCCGCCGCACACCCTCTCGCCGCTCGCGACTTCAACGCAGAGCACGGCAATTACCGCTCGCTCGCTCGCGCGCCCGCCCGCCCCACACGCCCCCTCTGGCTCCCATTGTCCGCCACAACACCCGCAGACGCACCCACGCCCGTCTTGCCCGCCCTTCCGGCAACGTCGATCGACACAGACGCCCCCCTTTCTCTCTCCCCGCTGTTTCCTTCTCTCTCGATCGTGCCCCCCAATGACCCACCGCTAAGCCAAGCCAAGCCAAGCCACTCTATCTCACTCACATCCCTCGACTCAGCACACTTGGCAGTCCCATCGGCCGCCCTCTGCCCCGGCCCCGTACGACCCCTGGCACCGCCGCCGCACTTCTTTGCATCTCTCCTCGCCCATCTCGGTCTCACTCGCGCCTCTCTTCACCACTTTCTGCCAACACGCTCCCCGAGATGCCCGGTCTGCTCTCACTGCGCCGACCCGCGGCAAACCCGCCACCGCAGAACGACGGAGACGTCCAGCAGACCACTGGCGGCCCTCTACGGCGCCTCCTCGCAGGCAGGAACCACCGCCATGCCCAGGACGTCGACGTCGAGATGAACCAGACTGCCGCGGGCCAGCAACCTCTGCAGCAGCAGCAGCAGCAGCCCGCCATCCAAGACGACGATGCACAGCCGCTTCCCTCTCACGACCGACAGGCATCCGGACGCTCCATGCTCTCCCAGATCTCGATACCCTCCCTCTCGGCTCTCCGACAGCGCGACCGCGACGCCGAACTTCAGCGCCAGATCGACCGAGCCCAGAACCGCGCCACGATACCCACCCCAAACCAGCTCGAGAACGGCACGGCAGCAGGCGCATCGTCTGATCCCGCAGCAGCACCCGCCCTCGCCGACGGAGCTCCCGCCACCATGACCAGCCCCTTTCAGCCGCCGCCGCCTGCCGCCACCAAGCGCTCCGCAAAGAGCAGAAGGGAGAGGGAGGAGGCCGCCACCCTCTTCGGACCCAATCTCGCAAACTACTTTGGCAGCGGCAACAGCACCAGCGGTGCCATCACCGCCGCCAGCCAGGCCGTCACCGCCGCCTCGCCCGTCCCGCCACCCACGTCGCCCGACCTGGCTAGCCCCACCGGCCCGCTGCCGCTCCAGGCGCGACAGGCCAGGCTGGGCTCGCGCGGCCGTGCACGTGGCGCCTCCCTCTCCGGCCTCAGCATGATGTCGCTCGGTGCCGAGTCGGTCACCTCGCTGGGCGCGTACAACACCCAATCCACCGACAGCGCCTCGGCCGCGACCATGGACGGCTCCACCTACGACCTGATCAGCCAAGTGCCGCGGCCCGACGTGGGTGGCGAGATTGCCATGAGCGAGGGCATCGACCTCGATACCCTTAAGCGGTGGGTCGACCGAAGCGCTGGCACCGACCCGGGCCCCCTCCAGGCAGGGCCCTCGGCCGCCACCATCCCGCCGGTCTGCACGACGCTGCAGTCCTACGTCAATGTCAAGCGCAACGCCGTCCGGCTGGCGGTCAAGCAGCCCGAGGAAGCGCTCGCGGCGTCGCCGGCTGCTGCAGCCACCACTGCCGACCTTGGCCCCCTCGGTGTCTCCGACGACCACTCGCGAAGTGCCAGTGCGTCGACCGACGTCAACCTGCTGCGCACACAGCCTTCGCTCTCGGTCCTGCCGTCGCTCTCTTCTGCGGCGACTGGCAAGGGCAGCAGCGGCACTACGGCTGCGACCTTGCTGCCCGACCCGACCCACACGATCTACTTCGAGTACGACTGCGCCGCACCGTGCGCGAGCGCGCAGATCTTTATCCGCGCCAGTCGCAAGCACGGCAGCTGGGTCAACTACGTCGCCCCGACAAACGCCGACGGCCAGGTCGATGCATCCACATCCGACGGCGTGGCAGCGATGCTGGCCCTGCGCGGCCCGCCGCCGCATGTCCTCGGGTGGCCGGTCCACGTTGCCCGCCTGAAGAAGGGATTCGGTGTTGGCCACAAGGCTGCTCTGTGCCTCGACCTCAAGTACTACGCGCCGCCTTCCGACAAGCTGTCCAAGAAGGCCAAGTCGGCCGCCGACGGCTCGAACGGCGGGGATGGCGGCGGCCAGGACGGCGACGCAGGCACCGTGCTAGGCCAGAGCCAGGGGGCGGCACAGGCCGAGACGGCGTGGGGCAACCCGATCCCCGAAACGCCTGCGTGGGACGTGCAGAGAAGGCTCGAGATTGAGCGCGATGAGCAGGAAGAAGAGGCCGCGGCCGAGAGGCTGCGCCGCGGTGGGAGGCAGCAGCAGACGTCTGCGGCCGGTGGTGACGCAGCGACAGACATTGCCGCTGCTGCTGCTGCTGCCGGTGCGGGAGGCGACGGCACGAGACCGGCGGCCGACGACGCCCTCGTCGAGACAAAGGAGCAGCGACTGGCGCGGGAAAAGGCCGAGAGGGAGACGCTCAAGGTTGCCATTGTGGTTGAGGCGCTGGATGCCAACGCGCGGCCGCTCAAGGAGCCCAACCTGCAGACGACCTACCTGCGCCTCAACTCGCTGCCGGTGCGCAAGCCGGCCACGACCGCGGACGACTCGACTTCGGCAGCAGACGCAGCCGCGGCCACGGCCAAGGAAGCCGAGGACGCCAAGCCGCAGCGGACGTGGTCGGCGCAGGTGGAAGGGCAAGAGGCCGAGATCGGACCGCACCGCTTCCAGCTGCAGGAGCTGTACGGCCTGTCATCAAGGCCGCCACCGGTGCGACCGGCTGCGGCCAACGAAGAGGGCGACGACAACGAGGACGGTGGAGGCGGCGGCGGCGGCGTCGGTGGCACCACGGGGGCCTACGGCACTTCGGGCACGTTTGCTGGGGTGGTCGACGACGACTCGAACGGGACCGAGTGCCTAATCTGCCTGAGCGCGCCGCCGACGACGCTGCTGCTGCCGTGCACGCACGGCCTCTGCCTCGAGTGCGCGGTGCAGCTGCGGGAGAGCGTCATGGGGATGCGGCAGACGGAGCGGAGGCGCGGACGCACGCCGCGGCGCAAGTACGCGTGCCCCGTGTGCCGACGCGGGTTCACGAGCATGCTGCACCTGAGCAAGGCCGACGAGAAGCTCGTGGCGCAGAGCTCGGCGCTGCCGACGGGCGGCGGCTGAGCCCGTGTACCCCTTGGCTCCGCTCCTGGAGCGTGGATCGTTCGTTTTCTTGTCTTTTTGTGTTTCTATGTCGATTGATCGAACATCGCATCCGGTCGGTTGGCGGACCAAGGATACCCCCCTCGCCGTTGCCTAGTCTTGTTGTTTCTGTTGAGCCTCGGTTGGTCGCCCGGTCGACTCGCTCGCTCGCTCGCCGTTCGCTCTCTATTTGTACGGGTAGCCAGGACGAGGAGGTGCTTGATACCTCTGAGAGGCCATTTAGAGAGGGAGGCGAGGTGGGCGTCACAAACTGCTGTTGGCCTCGATGTAGGGCTGAGGCAAGCCAGCTTGGAGGGTGGTGCGGGGAAGAGGGACAAGGCAAGCCAAGGCAGGGGGTGGGTGGCCTCTCCCCTTGTCGGCGTCCGTCTCGGCCGAGAGGCCAGGCGGCACGACGGACAAGCAGCAGCTGGCACCAGGGTGACCTAGCCCTGGGGCAAGCAAGGCTGCTGCTTCCCTTCCGAATCCCATCGTCTTGGTCATCGAGAGCCTTTGTGTCACCCTCGCAACCCCGAATTCCGGGGGCCCCGCACGCCCCAGAGCCACACGACCAAGATGAAGCTGAAAGCCAGCCAGGCCAGGCTGCGCTGTGCTGCAATCGCGCTGCGGTAGGCCAGCTGCCCCGCGCTTGGGCCCCGCAGACGGCTGAACCGCTGCTCGGATCCAGCGCTGCTCTCAATGGGGTCTAGAGCAGGCCATGCCAGGCCATGTCACCCGCCCCAACCCGCGACGCTCAAGCCACGGTCAGGCAGGCCACCCTCGCCCACGCTTTCCCCCTCTCCGCCTGGCTTCCTCGTCACCACCATCTCTTCCCTCACCACCACCACCCCCACCCCACCGTCCCACGGCTGACATCTACGCTCTCCCACCATGTCCGCCGCTGCAACGACCGCCGCCGTCGCCGCTCCGCCGCAGCGCCACCGCGTCGATCCGCGCGTCGAGGCGGCCGTGCGCGCCGCCAAGCCCTTCCAGCCGCGCTACCTGGTGCCCCTGCTGCGCATCCTCGTCTTCCACCTCTACTTTGTCCCCACCTCGCTCCTCGCCATCCCGCTCATCGCACTGCGCTGCATCGTCCCGGCGCTCCGGCCCAACCCGCGCTGGTCGTTCCTCACCGCCCTCTCGATCCTCAACGTCCGCCGCGCCATGCGCAGCATGATCCGCTTCGGATTCCAGCCCATCCAGCCCCGCGAGGGCGGATGGAGAGACACCCGCGGCAGCATCGCCGCCCTCCTCAACGTCCTCAACTACTCCGGCCCCGGCGGCAGCGTCACCCACCCCAAGCTCGCCGCCGACGCCGCCAAAAAGGTGGCCCGGGGCGTCGACAAGGTCTGGTTCGACCCGCCCCCGCTCGACGCCCTCACCGACGTCCTGTCGGTGCGCACCCAGGGCGCCGGAAGGGGCCTCGCCGTCCAGTCGACCCACTACGCCGGCCCACCGCTCCTCGACCCGGCATTTGCAAAGACGCGCTCCCGCGCATTTTGGTTCATGCATCGCCCCGGCGTGCTCCCGCCCTCTGCCCAGGCGGCGTCAAAGTCGGCAACGACGACGACGACAAAGACGCCGCCGCGCGAGCGCCCCGTCATCCTCTACTTCCACGGCGGCGCCGGCGTCACGTTCAGCGCGGCCGACCTGTTTATGGGCCAGTGCCTCGCCTCGAACCTGGCAAAGTCGAGCGGCGCCGACGTCTTTTCCGTCGACTACCTCCTCGCGCCGCACGGTCCCTTTCCCGTCCCGCTGATGCAGGGCGTGGCGGCCTACATCTACCTCCACCGCACGCTGGGCTACCGCACCGACCAGATCTACATTGGCGGAGACTCGTACGGCGCCTGGCTGACGCTCTGCCTCGAGCGATACCTGCGCACCTATGCCCACCTCGTCCTCGACGACCCAGAGTCGCACGCCAGCGGCGCCGAAAGCCCCAGCTTCGTCGCCGGCCTCGTCCTCCTCAGCCCGCACATTGCCCACGACGGCGACCACTTTGCCTCGCGCCAAAAGTACGTCGCGACCGACATCATCGACCTCAGCTACGGCGAGTGGGGCGCCGACGCGCAGCGCATCACGCCGCGCCACCGCGCCACCAACCCGCTCCCGCTCTCGGATCCGTGGTACACGCACTCCAACAAGCCCAGCGACGAGCTCGCCCGCCTCCCGCCCGTCTACATTGCCAACGGCGACAACGAGGTGCTGCGCGACGAGGGCATCTACTTTGCCCAGCTCCTCCGCCAGGCCAAAGGAGGCCTCGCCGAGTCCGACCCGGAAGTCGTCCTCGAGAGCGAGCCCGATATGCCCCACGACTACTTTACCCTCGACACCGAGCGCGCCCGCGCGAGAAAGGTCTATGGCCGCATCGGAAAGTGGATTAGAGGTATCACCGAGGGAAACGGGAGCGGTTACCGGCTCTGAGGACGCGTTCCGGTGGCGTCGCGTCGTCGTAGAGGGCGGCGGACGACGACGAGGGGCTGCAGCGAGGAGCCGCGAGCGCGCGAGGGGCAGCCGGGCCGCCTTGCTCAATGTATATACTTGTAGATGCGCGGCCATCGCGCCGTTCGCCCCTGGACCCCCTTGCGATGACGCACCGACCTACCCGCCGCGATGCGATGCGAAGCGAAGCGACGAGACGCTATGCTGCACCGCTACCGCCGGCCGCACTGCCGCCGTCGCCGCTCATGACGCGGCTAAAGAAGAGGTAGGCCAGGATGGCGACGACGACCGCCGACGAACGGGCGCCCAGGATTCCGCGCCTTGGCGCCGGTGCCGGTGCTGGTGCTGGTGCTGGTGCTGCCGCTCCCGCTGGTCGTGGTGCTGCTGCGGCGGCGGCGGCGGTTCGAGGTGACGCGCTGGATGCGGTCGTACCGGTCCCTGACGCTACGCCTGCGCTTGCGGCTGACCCTGCTCAGGTTCGACGGGAGGCAGGCTAGGACTAGGGTGAGTCGGGCGTCACTCGTCGCGCCGCCACCACCCGGCATCGCAGCGACGTCGCCGGATGCCAGTGCGTGCGAGCCGGCGCAGGGGGGAATGATGGGGATAGGAAGAAGGGAAGGGGGGAGCTAGATGTTCACCTCACCTTGCACCGCCTCCGCCGCCGCCGAGGCAGTCGCAGCCTGCTGCGTCTTCTTCCACTCGCCCATGTTGGGCAGGTCCTTTGGTCCGTCGCGCACGGCGTACTCGGGGAAGATCTGGCAGAAACGGCGGTTGGCGAGGTTGTGCTCGTGGCTCTTTGCGGCCAGGGTGCGCCGATCGGCGTCCGAGGCCGTCACGGAGCCCGTCGTCATTTCGTCCGAGCACATGAAGCTCAGCAGGCCGATGAGGATCGTCGACGTGTTCCAGCCGGGTTGCCACGTATGCGGGTGGTAGTCGGACATCGACTGGTGGGTTCGTAGCGGGGCCAGATGGGAGGGAGCCAAAGCGAGGGCATGGCGTGTGAGTCCCGGGTGCATGTGCGGGTGCGGGTGCGGGTACGATGGAGGGCAGAACGGGATCGGAAAGAGGGCGAATGAGGGGCAGATGGGCAGCGCGAAGGACGACTTACGGTGCAGATCTTGGTGTCGGGCTTGAATCGGCCGCTCGGGGTCGACATCTTGATGCCCGGCGGCTTAAAGGGGAACTCGGGAGGAAAGATGAGCTGGCCGTGGTACTCTCCGCCCGCGTACGGCGTGTCGGGCGGGCCGCGAAGAATGTAGTGCCTGCCGAGACGGAGAAGGTTCACAGGATGAAGGGGGAGAGAGGAGGGGTGATGGCGGTGGGTAGGGCGTTGCGTTGCGGAGATGAGCATTGCTGCATCCACCTGGGGATGAACCGACCGAACGGTGTGCCGTCAGCGGGAGGGGGAGGGCTGGCTCACCACTCGAGGATGTTGTCCTCCTTGGGTCGGGCGTAGACGAGCGGCGGCGGATCCTTTTCCATCAGCTGCGCCTCTTTTGTCAGCTGCAGTGTCAGTAGCAGCATCGCAGCGCGCGGTTCAAGATTGAACCGAGAGGGAAGGGTAGGACGAGATGAGCCACCGGCACTGCGCCCATCTGGCATTCATGCATGGTAGAAGGGGGTGGCTGGGCCGCAGGGGGTCGCAACTCACCCGTCGGATGGCGGCTTTACTGGCCATGCTGTGCGGATGACGATGGGGAGATGGCGGGCGTCGAGGCGAAGTGGGTGTTTGATGAGGGTTGCGCCCGCTGCGGTGGATCTACGGGGCGAGTGTCGGGATAGTGTGGGGTGGGGTTGGTGGTGGTGGTGGTGGTGGTGGTCGTGGCAGGAAGGATGTGGAGCCTGGAGGGCTGGCCGAGCTGGCAGGCAGACCGACCCTGCGCTTGGACCGCCCTCCGTCCAGCCCCACCCCCGCTCGAAATTTCCACCCCCGCAAGTCGGCCGCACTAGCAGCTCAGATCGTCCAAGCCTGCCTGCCTGCCCCAGCAAAGCCACATTGGACGAGTAACGACGTCGCTCAGACCGGCGCCGCCACACTCTTCAAGATCGAGGGCAACTAGAAACGACTGCTCAAAATGCCATTCCATGGATCGGCTTCGGTGAGGTGTTGTGAAAAAGAGGCGAGAAATCGGGTTAAAAAAGTGCCTTCTTCTGACAGGCTTCCCGGCACTTTCAGGCAAGCGTATGGTTGTACCTGCGACTTGGACGAGCGCAGTCGTTTCGTGATCTTATGGATCCAGACGATAAGAGGCCACAGCCGAGTCATTCATGCAGCGGCTCAGCTAGATTCCAGCCGCCAATACCAGCGAGAGCGGGGCAAGGATCAACGAAGCGGCGTCGACACGGAGCTGCTGGTGGAGCTGCTGCGTCGGCTAAGTTGTTGGCCGGGAGGGATGCTGGGGCTACGCGACTCGGGGATGCGGTGCACATCGTCGAGGCTCATGTTTCTCGCGGCGCGCAGGTTGGCCCGGGCCCCTCGACCGCGTCCACGTCCGCGTCCCCGTGCCGATGCGGTCGAGGTCGCAGCACCGGCACCGGCACCGGGGGCGGTGTTGCGCGCCGAAGAAGAGGACGCAGTGGTGCTGCCGCCCCCTCGACCGCCGCGACCTCGTTCACGACCGCGTTTGGGCGCAGGCCGCCACTCGTCGGCGCTCGAACTGCTTTCTCCGCTCTCCGCTGCTGCTGCTGCGGACGGACCAGGCTCAGTGCCCTCTTGTCCATCGACCGCCTTCGCCTTGCCCTTGCCGCGCTTCGTACCTCGAACCGCCTCCTTTGCCGGTGCTGCTGCTGGTGCGGCGGCGGCTTTCCTCGTCTTCTTCTTCGCCGCCGACGTGGAGGTCGTCTCGGCACCGGGTCGTTGTCCCTCCAAGGCCTCTACGGCCGCGTCGAGCTCAGCGACCCGATTCGCGTCATTGGAAGCCGAGGCCGCCTCATCCCGACGCACCACGGGTCGGCGCTTGGCCATCTCCTTGCCGAGAAGCTCCTCGGGGACGTGCGGCTGGATGTTGGCCTCGACCATCTCGATGCCGTCCGACGACGAGGCAGAGGACGACGAGGCAGAGTCGCTGTCGTCATCGCTGGATCCGGCGGCCGCAGCGCGTCGACGACGGCCACCGCGAGCCTTGCCTGCACGCTTGCCGGTGCCGCCGTTTGCACCGTCGCCGCCCACCTTGGACTTGTTGGCGGCGCGGAAGCCGTTGACGACCTCCTGCAGCCGATTGGAGCCGTAGGTGGGCTTCTTGCGCCCGGCATAGACGCCGAGGCCGGCCGTGGTGTCGAAGAAGCCGTTGCGGTCGAGCGTGCTCTGGTTGCCGCGCGCACGGCTGCGCTGGTTTTGCTTCTCGATGATGGGCAAGAGGTACTGGTCCGTCTTGGTGACGGGCCAGTGCAGGTATTCTCCCAGGAAAGTGCGCAGGCTATCGAGGTCGGGCAGTCCCCACTGGAACGGCTCATCGCTCTCGTCGACCGTGGGCTGGTAGTAGGCGTCGAGCACCTCGGGCTCCGGCCACGATGGCGCTAGGTGGACCTTGTTGCGCAGCGCCTTTTTGATCCGTCGCATCGTCTTACCGCGCGTGTCCTCGGGAGTGTCCTTGCCCATCTGCACCTTGTACCACCAGTCGCGGAACTTGAGCAGGCCGTCCTCGCCCGAAAAGAGGGCGAGGAGCTCCATCGCCAGCACCGGTCCCACGCCGGCGAGGCCCTCGGTGTAGTCGCTGCCGAGGAAGTAGGCCAGCCGCACCAGCTTCTCGCGGTCCAGGCCGAGCTCGCGCTGCAGGTCCGAGAGCAGGAAGCACTCGACGACCTTGTTGTTGTTGAACATGTTTTTGTAGATCCGCGTGCCGCCGAACAGAAAGACGTCGCTGTCGTCGGTGATGATGCCGTCGACGAGCCGGCGGCTGACGAGCTCGGCACACTGGGCCTCTGCCTCCATGGGCGCCGTGATGTACGGCAGGCCAAAGAGGCGCAGCATCATCTGGATCTCCTGCGCCATCTGGCGGGTGATGTCCTCCTCCGACTTTCGGCTGTTGGCGTGCTCGGCACGCAGCGCATTGACCTCGTTTTCGACCTCCTGCTGGACATCGAGGAGGCTGCGGCCCTTGCTTGCGCTGAGAAAGGCGGCAAACTCGTTCTGGTCGGCCGTCAGGCGTGCGATCTCTTCCTCGTCCTCGGCGTCCATGGCGTCCAGCTCCTCGGCCGTGGGCAGAGGGAAGCCGTCGGCGCCCAGAACGACGGGCTCGGGAGAAGGGGTGGGCGACCATTCGATTGGGGTCCCCTCCCGGCTGCTGGGCTGCGATGGCGCCGGCGCGGGCTCTAGGGGCGCATCGACCTCGGTAGTGACGGCGGGCAGGTTGTCGAGCACGATTGGCTGAGGCGACTCTCGCGCCCGATCCTTGACGACATCAGCGGAGGTCAAATCTTCTGCCGCGGGCGGCGGGGGCGGCGAAGAACCGATGCTGATGGGCTCGACGTCGGCGGCCCTGGTGGTAGTGCTGCGCCGGCCGATTCCGGGGGATGCTGGATCCGCAGCGGCATGGATGGTTTCGCTGTTAGTCTCGGAGCGTTGCATCGGCGGCAATGGCTGGGCTTCGACGGGGGACAAGGGCGCGTCGACGTCAATCGCCTGCACAGACTCAGCGTGCGGCTCGCTACGAGTCTCTTTGACGGCCTCCTCTACTTCATCGTCGATTCCCGCCCCGGCGGCAATCGCGCTCTGTGTCTCAATGACACTCAGCTGGGATGTCGCTGCCGGCTGCGGCTCCGGAAGTCGAGCTGATGGCTCCCGTCGCCGCTCCTCGCTCGCAGCCCTCTCGGGCGCTGCGGCCGGGCTGAATGTTGGCCTTTCCTGCACGTTAGGTTTGTGCGCCACGGAGGACGTGGCGAGAGAAGGACTCGGCGCCGCAGGGAGCCTAGCTGCCTTTTCCAATCTCTGCTGCGATGCCGAGCGGGTCGGCGGCGGCATCGCTTCGCGTCGTGCTAGCGGAGCGGCCGGTCCACTGATCGGGGGTTCCTTCTGGCTGCGCTCCGGAGCGTTCTTCTTCGGGGTTCCTTGTGGCGCATTGACCGGGATTTGACCTTTCTCCGAGAGAGGGGCAGGCCGAAGTGCGCGCAGGGACCCGGCCAGACTCTTGCGCGGCGGTGCTGGGGATGTCCCTAAACTCGCGCCTGATGTGTTGCGGCCGACGAGGGCAGCCAGCTCCTTCATGCGATCAGAGCTTGCGCCGGACTGCGGAGCCTGCATCTTGGCGTCTGACGAAGGAGCATTTGCAGAGACGTCCGTGCTCTCCGTCGCACGGGAGGGCGACTTTGTCATCGCAGCAGCGGATGGCGGAGCCCTCGTGTAGTCCCGCTGAACGGCGGAAGGAACGGTGGGCACGTCGACGTCCTCGAACTCGATGCCTTCAGCCTCGTCTTGGTCGAGGTCGTCGCTGCGTTCTTCGAAACCAGCGGGAACAGCCTCGGTGCCGACATCAGCCCTTGGCACCGGCCTGGCAGAAGTCATCAGGGACGATGGCGAAGAGGCGCTCGGCGAACGGTGCTCGGCGCTCGCTCTCATGGCGGTGTGGAGCGATATGGGCTCCCCTCCACGGCTAGAGAGTCCGAAGCCATACAGCTGTCGCGGAGCGGCCGCCTGGTCGCGCTCCGACTCATCGAGCGCCCGTGACAGGTCCTCGGCCTCGTCTGCCGACATCGGGTCGTCGATGCCCTCGGAGGCCGCATGGTGCGCCTGCTCGACATGGAAGTTTCCGTCGTCGTCGTCATCGTCCTCGCCGTCTTCGGCGGCCAGATCGATTGCGTCTGTGCGGCTAGAGCCGAAGTCTCGGATGAAGAGCGGCTTCTCGCCCGCCCTTCTGGCGACATGGGGCCGAGCATCGAGGTCGTCGACCTCGAGTCCCGCCTCCTTGCGTGCCTGACGGGCGTGCTGCTGTGCGCGCATCTGCAGGATCTCGAGCGCCTTTTCCTTGCGCCTGACGGGATCCGCTTCGCTGCGCAGAGCCACGACCTCGGGGTCGATGCTGTCAGCCGACCTATCCGACACCTCCATCGCCGGGATCTCGACATCGTCCATCTCGAGCTCGAGCTCTGGGTCGCTGTGTGTGCGCTCGTCGTCGGTCGTGTCGAGCGGCTCGTGGTCGTCGTCGACGTCGATGGCCTTTTCGGCCGTGGCGCCCGAGTCGCGCACCCCGAGCACGAAGCCGCCCTCGGCGCCCGGGTTCCGCACCAGCACATACTCCTTGTTGCGCTCGCCGGCGACTCGGAGCGGCACCTTGATGTTGGCGCTCCCGATCTCGTCGGTGACCGTGAGGACCTTTTGCGTGAGGTCGTTTCTTGTCTTGAGCCCGGCGATCTGGGCTCGTGAGAAGTCGATCGGGGTCGGGGCGGTGGCGAGCATCGACTGGAGGCGCTTGTACGACGTCATCCGCGACTGCGCGCGCAGGTCGCCGACCAGCTCGTACTGCAGCTCCGGAGGTAGACTTCGGAAGAGCTCAGACTCGGTGTCGAGGTCCTCGGGCGCGATGGTGCTCATCACGGCCCTCAGCTCTCCCTCGGTGGCGAAGCGATAGTCGGCGCGCTTTCCCTTCTTGCCATTCTGCGCGCTCATGGTGTTGAGGTCGCGTTCGAGGGCGGGCAGGGCGTAGGGATCCTTGTGCCAGTCTGGCTTCTTGGGCTTGGAGGGCGAGCCAGACTTTTCCGGGCTGCCATTGCGGCTGACGTCGTGGGACGACGTGGCGCGGCTCCCAGATGGGCTGGCCTGTCCTTGTAGAGCTGTTCGGGACAGGGGCGAGGGCCGGCCTTGTTGGAGGTCATCGTAGTAGACGGTGTTCTCGTCGAGCCCGGAGGCGGCTTCCGCTTCCCCGTGGTCGGTCGGTTCTGATCTGCCCTCGGCGACGTGCTTGATGGCCGCCTGTCGCAGCTGTGCGGCGAGGAGCTTCTCTGCGGTGCGGGCGTGCGACTCCTTTGCGCCCTGCTTTCTGGCCTTGCGGTTTGTGAGGGTGCGCCTCTTCATGACGGGGGCGCCGCCGTCAAAGACAAAGACGGGGCGGATGCCGTGGAAGAGTAGCTTGAGGATGCGCCAGAGGAAGCCTAGGATGTGCGCGTTGGACAGCGTGCGGCCCTCTTTGTCGCGCATGGCCATCTGGAAGTGGTAGAGCCAGATGGACGAGTCGATTGCAAGCCGCTTTCCCTCGAGCGTCTCGAGCTTGATGGGCCGCGCCACCGGCTGGAGGAGCTGCCAGAGGCCTTGGACACCCATGATTCACGGACGCGGCTGTTCGAAAAGAGCCAGGTGAAAGTGAGATGCAGATTGTCGGAGTATTGCCTGTGGGTTTGTGCTGTTCCTCGGCACCAAGGTAGCAGGGCAGAGGGCCGGGGAGGGCAGCTAGGTGGGCATCTCTGGATCTTGCTGAGCCGCGATGCGGGCCGGAGGAGCAGATCGAGCTGGGCGCTCCTTAGCCAGGCATGAGCTCGATGCGGCGACGTTGAGCGGTAGTGAGGGCTGGCTGGATACGGGGTGGCTATGGCGGGTGGCGTCGATGATGGCAGGAAGGAAAGCCGAGAATGGCCGCGAAGGGCTCAGTCAGGCGGGAAGGCTCCGGGCGCTGCAGCACAATGATCGGATCCGACCGATCTGCTCGGGGCGGCGCAGGGCAAAGTGGAGGAGACGACTGGCCGACGGGAGATCAGCACCCGAAAGCCGAGGTTGCCTCTTCGACGTCCAACACCCAACCAACACCGCCAGGCCATCCCCGACTAAACCGACCGCCACCTCACTCGCGTCGTCTTCCTCTCTCACACTCCGTCGCCCTCTCCGCCATATTACTGCTCGCGAGGCTCACACTAGCGCCTTCGAAGCGTACTCCACCATCGACAACCATCCACCATGCTCGTACCGCCACCAAACTACGGCATGGTCGAGGAGAATTTCTATCGATCCGGCCAGCCGGACCAGCTCAACTTCCCCTTTCTCGAGAAGCTTGGCCTTAAGAGCGTCATCTGGCTAGCTCCAGAGGAGCCAGAACCAGGCTTGTGGGTCTCAGTCTCTCTCGATAGGCCGCCACATGCCCTGTCGATGGCATTCGTCTGACGACCCGGTCCTGCCTCTGCCTTCTTTGCCGTCTGCCTCGGCCCTTCTCCGTCATCTGTGCCCTCCTTCCAGCCTCGATTTCTGCGTCGACCAAAACATCCAGCTTCACCACCTCGGCGTGCTCTACAGCACAAACGCGTGGGATCCAATCACCGAGGAGGTCGTCCTCCAGGCCTTGCACCTCCTCGTCCAGCCCGCAACCTACCCGGTTCTCGTCATGTGCAACCTCGGCAGGCATCGCACGGGGACCGTCATCGGCTGCTTCCGCAAGTTGCAGCGCTGGAACCTCAGCGCCATCCTCGAAGAGTACCGCAGATACGCCGGCCCAAAGGTCCGCGTCATGAACGAGCAGGTAAGTCGAGTCGAGTCGAGTCGACGATACGGACGCCTCGCTTCCTGACACGCGCGTGCCCTTTCACCACCCATTTACACCATGCGCATGCAGTTCATCGAGCTGTTTGACGAGGAGCTCGTGTTTGGCTGAGCTGCCACTCGCGCGGTCGAGCCGCCGCCCGTCTCCCAAGGCCGCTAACGGCCCGCTGTACTTGTATCATCGCGGCAGCCGCTGCCTGCTCGGCCGGCTGCACCGCAAATCCTATACCCGTGCATCCCGACGATTGCCCTCGACTGTCAATCCCGGTCGGCCGACAGGACAACCGTGAGTACTGTCGAGCGTCGCAGTCGCCATGGGACACACACAGAACGTACTGCGACATGACTGGCGCCGGCAACTTTGCTCCGATGTGCGGTCCCTGCTGCGCTTGGTGTGGCCCGCAGGCTGGATACGCGATCCGACGGACAGGTAGGTACATACGGTCAATGCTGCTGTTCCTGATTCGGGTCAAGGCCCTCGCGCTTGCTGTGAGGCGCTGCTGACTTCGCCGCGTGGCATGAACCACCTGGCCTCCACGGGTGTAACTACCGAGCAGGGTACAGTGATGCAGCAGGTGGCGCGAATGTCCGGAGGCGCTGTCGGTGCTCCCTCGACACGGTGTTCAGCTCGTTATTCTGGCCACCCACTCTCGACGGGACGCAAAAGCCCAGTACGGAGCGGAACCGTCAGCTTCCACGGACAAGGTGAGCAGCTTCGCCCCGGTACGGTACGATGTTGGTGATGTCCTGGCGGCCCGGAAGCGCTACCTATCCAAAAGCGTTAGACGAGGCTCCTCGTTTCCAGGTACGATTGCCGGCAATCTCTTTGGCGTGTCCACCCACGTTTTATGCCTTCGGCTGGAAAGTGGTTCGCCGTCGTCTGACCAACCCACCATGCTACAGGTATCGCTCCGTTGCCCACCACACCGCACTGTTCCTTACGGTTGCCTGGCAGGAGGAGACGGCAGTCTCGCCGAAAGACTCTGCTCTGGCCGACCCGTCCCGTTTCATTAGGCAGAAACGACCGCGACGCTGCGGTAGCCCTGCCATCGAGCCGCGCCGCGGGTTTTGCGGCGACATCTACGACGGCAGACGTCTACGGTTGGATCGATCCTGCAGCTGCAACCATCAACAAGAAGGTGAGGGAGGTGGCGGCGGGCTTCGATGGCGGACCAAGCGGTCGAAGACCAAGCAAGCCTAGGTGAGCCCGCCTTCTTTTGTGTTCAAACGGCAGGTATCCTGGCAGGGCACTGGGTGCAGCAGCAGCCGCCGGCGAATCCTTGCGTTGTCTAAATCCAGCGATTGTCCTCTTTTGTCTGTACGTTTGATCATGCAGCTACATGGCGTGGGTGGTGGCAGAGCGGAGCTCCTCCTTTTGACCAGCTGATGGAGGCTGCGGCTGGGAGCAGGTCAGGCGGGGCAGGGAGGTAGGTGGGTGTAGGGACGCTCAGTGCCCCGCCTTGCGTGGCCTGGCCTGGCCTGGCTTCTCGCGTGGAGCGCTCTCACTCGACCTTTGCTTTGCTTGCCTTGCGCTTGTCCTGCGCTGCCTGGCATGCCAGCTCGCCGCCTTTTGCCGAGAAGAAGAGGTGCCAGGGCCCAGGGGGTGCCCAACATTTCGCTCCGAGTCCGGTTGGTCCGCCCCGGCAATCCCCTCTCGGCACTTTTCGAGGTGAGTCGTCCGCTTTCTTGCTTCGGAGAGCAGCCGTCCGACGACGAACAGAGGGCACATGCCGTCGTCTCTGAACGCTGCTCTGCTGCTCCTTTGCCTGTGGCGCAGCGGCAGCCTTTACGTTCGAACGTACGTGGACGCAGCGGGCTTCCGCAACACGCAGAGGAGAATTTCTCCTGCCCGCCTGCGTGCGCAAGAGAAGCGCCCAGCCTGCGACGCAATTCTCCGCGACGGACAAGCCGGGCGGGCCTTTTCAGCCTGCGTGCGTTTCGACTCCGCCTGCTGCATCCTCGCCACCCAACTCGCCGGTCGAAGACAGCCGACGACCAGACCAGCGAAAGGGACGTCTGCAACAAGCAAGGCTGATCAGGATCGGATGGTCGAAGGAGCGGGACGGGTTTCGTCTGAGGGATGGAGACAGCAAGCCCTGACAACGCATGGTAGACCAGGGCGGTCCCAAGACTCTTGGATGGAGCTACTTCGCCGAAAAGAGCGAGTACAGTGCCTGACCGACGACGGCCGCGGGGGATTTTGGCCGCAGCCCTCGCCGACGTCGCTGTCTCATGCGCACACGACGAGGGGCAGAGTGATTTTCGTTGCACTCGGTCGCAGACTCGCAAGCAAGCCAGGCATGGGGGGACGGCCTCACGTCGGTCTCGCTTCGCAGGCCGCCAGAGTGTGGCAGCGAGGCGCGGCGCCCGTCCGCCCGCTCAGTCGAGCGCGTCCTGCACGACAGAGATCAGGAGGCGTAACCCCTCTTTCCCCGCTGAGGAGACCCGACACCACGCCCACCGCCTGGGCCCAGCGCGGAGAGATGGCCGAAGTCATTGATCTTTGACCCTCCCCCCCCCCACTCTCGCTTACCGCTCCGGCAGGACCGGTCGTCGCCTGGCCTGCCAATCAGGCCCCTGCCTGCCTTTCTCGATGCCACACATGGTTGCAACAGGGCTCGACGGCGCCGATGGCGACCAGGATGCGGTTTCATGGTTCCACGGCCCTAGCTCCTCGACCTTGCGCCCTTGCGGCTCGAGGCGAGCTCTCGTCTGTCTGCGCCGTCCACGCTCGCTTCCATCCAGCCGTGAGATGCTGCGCACCGCTGCGGCGTTGGGCCGCGCAGACCGTTGTACGTGTCTCGTGTCTCTCTCCTCCGCCACCGCCCTTTTCTGACCCCCCGCGCATAGATCGTTGGTCACCTACTCATTGTTGCCCTCCCTTCCAACGGACTCTTCTCGCACAGCAGAGCCACGATTGGCCAGCCCTGCTTGCTGCAGGACCGGACGGCGTGGCGCTAAGCGAATGCAAAGGGCCCCAATCTTAGCGCGGCCATGCTAAGCCATGCTCGCTGGTGTCTGCGCAGACGAGCCACGCCGTCGTCGGCCGCCCAGCAACCAGACGCGCTCCCCATCTGGGCATGTCGCACTTCGGCGAGGCAGTTGCCTTGTGTGCTTGCCCAGCTGGCCACACCGGCTGGACGCTCAGGCTAGCCGGCTCCCCTTGGCCCGGTGGCGGGGCTCCGGCTTGCGAAGAGCGGCCAAAGCGAGCAGCCAACGACGCCCGTATAAAGGTCGTCGGTCCCTCGGCGCCACATCTCAATCCGCCCCCTTTCTTCCCACCATCCCCCCTCCCCACTCCCCCTAAACCCTTCACGCCTGCGCCCGACTACGGTCAGCGCGCTCACGACCCTTGCCACGATGAAGACGATCACCAACCCCTATGTCCTGACCGCCCTGGCGTGCACGGGCGGCATGCTTTTCGGCTTTGACGTCTCGTCGATGTCGGCCATCCTCTCGACGCCCAACTACCTCGTCTACTTTGGCCCCAACGACAAGATCACCGAGTGCCCCGACCGTCCTGGCGCTCTCTGCTCGCCCGGCCCCAGTGCCGACGTTCAGGGCGGCATCACCGCCTCGATGGCCGGCGGTTCGTTCCTCGGCGCCATCGTCTCCGGTCTTCTCACCGACCGTCTTGGACGCAAGAAGGCCATCTTCCTCTCGTGCATTCTCTGGATCATCGGCTCCATCATCTCTTGCGCCTCGGTCAACGTCGGAATGCTCGTAGTCGGCCGTATCCTCTGCGGTGCTTGCGTCGGTATCGCCTCGGCCCAGGTCCCCGTCTACATTTCCGAGCTTTCGGTCGCCAGCATCCGCGGTCGCCTCGTCGGTTGCCAGCAGTGGTCAATCACCATCGGCATCATGGTCTTTTACTACGTCAGCTACGGCTGCAGCTTCCTCGGCAACCGCATCGGCGGCGACCAGGACGGCCGCGGCACCGCCAGCTTCCGCCTGCCCTGGGGCCTGCAGATGATCCCCGCCATCGTCCTTATGGGCTTCATTCCCTTCATGCCCGAGTCGCCCCGCTGGCTCGCGTTCCAGAACCGCCACGAGGAGTGCCTCGAGGTCCTCGGCCAGGTCCACGGCCACGGCGACATCAACAACCCGCTCGTCCAGGCCGAGTTCCAGGCCATCCAGCAGGCCGTCGAGGAGGAGAGCAAGAGCGGCTCCGGTTACCTCGACCTATTCCGCAACGGCATGGCCTGGAGGACCCACATCGCCATGTTCACCCAGATCTGGTCGCAGCTGACCGGTGAGTTTTGCCTCGTTGCCGACGCGTACGGGTTATCGGCCGGGCCCTGTCTCTCTGATATGTTTCCTGACGCCATCATCTTACCGTTTTCTCTATAACCACGTCCGTCCCCATCAACCCGCTCTTACACATGACGATGTTCACACCCTTGAACGCACCACGTTCACATCCATGATCGCACCACGTTTACACCCTTGATCGCACCATGGTCACACGCTTCTGGCGCGTTCCTCCCCATCAACGCACCACGTTCATACCTGTAAACGCACAACGTTCGCGCGTTCCTCCTCGTCAACGCACCACGTTCATACCCGTAAACGCACAACGTTCACGTCCGTGAACGACACAGGTATGAATGTTTGCATGTACTACATTGGCTACATCTTCGCCGTGAGTTTTCCGACGAAGAACGACGAAAACAGACGGAAAAGTCGTCGAGGAACTGCTTGGCTGACCCTTATTTTTCTTTGTTTCCCTTGCTCTACCTCGACGCGACGCAGATGGCGGGCCAGACCGGCAACATCGCACTCGTCTCCTCAAGCATTCAATACGTCATCAACGTGCTCATGACAATCCCTGCTCTTCTCTATCTCGACAGGTGAGTACTCGCTCTTGAGTCTTGAGGAGTTGTTTGATGGTCTTCGGGGCGACTCGGCATCCCTGGCGGTGCGAGGGCAAAAATCTAGCGGCGACGCGTCCCTCGGCGGCGCGGCAGGAGGGTCCGAGCCCGACTGCAGGCAGATGTGGGGCTTGGACCCTGACGTGCATGCGCCTGCACGGACGCCTCGCTTTAGGACCGCAGAGTGCCCGTTGGTGCCCTGCGGGACAGCAAAGCCAGAAGCAGGGCCGAGGTCGGGCGGTACCGGGAGACCCTCTCGCGGCGCCATGTTGGGCGCCCTTTCGATGCCTGTAACCGGTGGGGTGGAGTTGACCGGAAAGGAGGGTTCTGGGCGACGGTGACGGAGACACGCCGGACGAGCACCGCTGACATTCTCGCGCCCCTTGTCCTCTTTGGCGCCTCGCAATCCAACAGGTGGGGACGCAGGCCCACGCTGCTCGTTGGCTCGACCCTGATGATGGTCTGGCTGTTCACCATCGCCGGTCTGATGGCCAGCTACGGCCACTTTGTCGAGTCCGACACGCCCGTCCGCTGGAAGGTCGAGGGCGCCCCCGCCAAGGCCATCATCGCGTGCACCTTCCTCTTTGTCGCGTCGTACGCGCCGACCTGGGGTCCCGTCTCGTGGACCTACCCTCCGGAGCTCTTCCCGACCAGGCTGCGTGGCAAGGCCGGCTCCGTCTCGACCAGCTGCAACTGGATTTTCAACTTCGCCCTCTCGTACTTCGTGCCTCCTAGCTTCCGCAACATCCAGTGGAAGTCGTACCTTATCTTCGGCGTCTTCTGCTTCGCCATGACCGTCCACGTCTTTTTCGCCTTCCCCGAGACGGCCAAAAAGTCGCTCGAGGAGGTCGACGAGATCTTCAACTCTGGCGTCCCGGCCTGGAGGACGAGGGCGATTGCGCAGAACAACAAGACCGAGCAGCTGGCGCGCGACATCGAGGTCGGCAAGGCTTCGGGACCGATCTTCACCAAGGACTCTGCCTCGGCCTCGTCGCCCGACTCCGAGTCCAAGGACGAGGCCAAGGCTTGATGAGGCCGTCCATTCGGCCTCATCAGCTTCTTCCCGCCCCCGTCACCTGCCTCTGTGCCTCTTTACGATTGACGGTTCCCCCCTCTCCCATCGATATCTGTCGATCCGATGATCCTGTAACACCATCACGACCCCCCACCCTTCACGTATTCCCGCCCTTCACGTATTCCCGGAGGCCCATTCCAGTCGGGCCAGTCCCTTTCCCCCTTCGATGTTGAGCATGTGTGGTCGCGCTGCTGACAAAGTGGTTCATACACGGCAGTGGCTAGGCTGCGGTTGCCTGGGCGGCGACCTAGTGAGAGCACGGTAGGACGATTCAGGGGCCAGCCAGGGAGGGATCAGGGCGCAAAAGCGTCACGTCACGCTGCGCTGTGCCTGCGTCCGCCCGCGGAGGGGGCTGTCATCGGCCCGAGACCTCCGCGGCTTCATTGCCCGTTGCCCGTTGCCCCCCTTTTCGACACGCTTTCCGAGGAGGTGCCGCGCTCGTTTCGTGATCCTTGCAATTGCTTTCGGGGCCATTTCCATGAGACCAAAGGCGATCTGTAGAATTCAGCACCCACCTGAAGGCAGGGTGCTGTCTTCTACAGATCGCCTTTGGTCTCGCAGAAACGGCCGCGAAAGCAATCGCAGGGATCACGAAACGAGCGCGGCACCTCCTCGGAAAGCGTGTCGAAAAGGGGCATTGCAACTAGCGCGCCTCGACATGGAGCTCGAGCCCGCGACCTGCCTGCCACCTTTGTCCTGAACTCGACCTGCCTTTGGCCTCTGTACGACTGGCCCGTGGTCTGACCTCTTGTCGGCAGCAAAGGGGGCGCCACCACCGTCGACGCTCTAGCATTCCTCGAGTCGGGACCCAACGGACGGACCCTTTGGCTGGTGCGCGTAGGTACCGGCAGGGCTGCGGTGGGTGCTGCAGACGCGTGACCGACGACACGCCGGGATCACATTTCCGGGGCGCAACGGGGCCCGACGCCGCCCCCACCTTCGCGGCCGGTTACAGCGATCCGCTGGCTCCTCGCTCCCTGTGCTTGGACTCACCGTCTCTTTCGAGCTAACCACCCCCACCGCCCGATCCTCCATTGTCATCCTGATGCGCTCCACTCTGTATAAAAGGCCATGCTGGTCGCTCTCCTGCCCGGCATGCTCGCTCACGGTATCCTCGCGCCACTCACCATCACCACCGCCGCGAACCAGCGACGACGACGACGACGACGACCGCTACAGCTACCAACATGATCAAGACGCTCGATCTCAAACGCCGCTTCTCTCTACGTAGCAGCACCTCGCTGCGGCGGCCAGGCCGTCCAAAGACGGCGCAGGACTCGACGGAATCGTCGATCGCCAGCAGCCAGGACAGTGTGGGCCCCTCGTTTGCCGCGACGGGCATCGCCGCTGTGTTTGCCGTGCCGCCCACGGGGCTGCCGCGCAGGTTCCGCCGCCACTCGACATCGACGCGACACACGCCAGACCGTTTCACCCTGGGCGAGGTCGAGGAGGTCGCCCCGTCAGAGGGCGCCGAAGCTGCTTCGAGCGCCGCCACGCGACCAGTCGCCGTACACGTCTACCCGGACGGCGCCCGGTGCACCCACCCGTTCCGGGATCTGCAGGATCCTACCAGCCCACACAAGGTGCCCTCGCTGGGACTGCGCTATCGCCTCGAGGAGGGGCCGGCATTGAGCGACGAGGAAGAGGAGCGGCTCAGGGACGACTTGACCCGCCAGATCATGCACCAGCAACCCGACGCCTACCGCCCGCAGTACGCCTTCCACTCCTCGCTCGACGGCAGGCGCCACGTCGACCTCATCTTCCCGCGCCCCTCGGCATTCGAGCAGGCACGCAAGCTCGTCCTGACGCACCACGACCGTCCCCTACCCCTCGTCGCGACCGGATCGCCCCTGTCCAAGTACCTGCACGTCCTCAAGCTGACCAACCTGACGGGCTTCTGCCAGTACAGCACCCTCTTTGCCGTCCTAACGGCTTCGCTGGAACCCTACTTCAGGATCGACCACATGTGGGGCATGTACCAGCTTCGCAGCCGCGACAACCGCCGCGAGTTCGACGGCCAGGTCACCATCCTCGGCCACTACCAGCATGGGTGTGGGCCCAGGAACCTGCCCGGCTGGATCAACTACCAGTCGGTCGACTGCAAGCTCTGGTACGACGGCCGGCCGGACTGGTGCACCTACTGCAAGATTCGCGGGCCCGCTCGGCCTCACCTCAACAGCGAGTGCACCCAGAGGCTCCTGTGTACCGTCTGCAACGAGTGGGGCCACCCGCCGACCAAGTGCGTCCTCGTCGCTGCCTCGACCAACGCGCCAGAGTCGAGGCGATGAAGATGCGCATGGGCTCGGCCTCCTATCCACTGTACCCATACCTCATGGCATCCATAGATACCTCCATATCCCCGCCGCGCATTGTGCAACATCTCCATCGCTTCGTCGTCCTGAACCTCGACCGTCTGTCCGCCTGGTCAGGGCCATCGCCGGCGATCCCCTCCTGCTGAAAACAAGTCTGCATCTCGCCTTTTTAACGTCTCTGCATCCGCGTGGCCGTCTCTGCCCTCTCGGGTTGTGCTGCGTACGCTACATCCCGTAGAAACTGTCATAGAACTTCTTGGCCTGGATGGCGAGGGGATGCGAGTCGCAATCAAGGCGCTTGTGTCCTCGCCCGCCGCAGTGCGGGCAGGTCTGCCAGGTACACGCGTCGATGGTGTGCGGGTCTCGCTCGAGGCGGCATTGCGAGCAGAGGTTGGGACGGCCGAGGAAGCCGAGGCGGTGGTCGAATCCGCGGTACTGCAGCCAGCCAGGCAGCGAGAACGGTCCGTGGTGTCCCCGGAAGGTCGCCAGGATGGTAAACGTGCCCCTGAACGCGACGGTCCCGTCCGCTCGTCGCAGGCAGTCCGCCCAGATGTCGTTGAGGGTCAGGTAGGGACCAAGTCCGGACTGGAAGGACTGCAGGAAGGAAGGCAGGTCAGTTGTCGGGGGGAGATCACGCAGGGTGAGGACGGTAGTGCCTCGACCGAGGGGCCGGCACGAAGCGACCAGCTGCAGGGGCACGCTGTCGTAGACCAGGGTGAAGCGACGGGCCTTTGTCCATGCCTCGAGCGAGCGGTAGAAGACATCGACGACGCGATCCGGACCCGAGATCATTGGGAAGGTGAAGGACAGGTGGTCGACATCGACGCCGTGCTCGGCGGCTTGCTTCTTGATCTGCTGCAGGAATGTACGCTCGGCCGCTCTGCGTTCCTCTCTGCCTTGAGCGCCGAACGACGTGAACTCGTAGCGATGGCAGCCCTGCGGGACTGGGTAGGCGCGATCCGGCGTGGGCAGGTCGGCGAAGCTGATCAGCGTCTCGGGCGTTGGCCAGATGTGGTTGATGAACTCGACGCCCTCGTCTCTGTCGACGGGACCAGCAGACGTGGCTTGTTTGCCGGCAATGGTCATCGCTTGCTTGTCAGCACCAGTCGTAGACTTGGGCCGAGAGGCAGGCTGCTTGTCGACGTTCGCCATGGGCTTGGCCGGGCTAGAGGCCTTGTCGACCGCGACCGGCGCAGTCTTGATGGGCCTCGAGGGAGATGCCAGGGACGTCGCTCGGGGGGCCGAGAGCATCGATGGCTTCAACTCGAACGTAAAGGGAGAGCTCGGGACTGTCGACTTGGATGCTCCGGCCCAGGCGGCAGTCACCGATGGGGCCTTTCCCTTGGACGCCTCTGGTCCTTTGACGCTGGCCGAGGGGGTTGCTGGGTCTGAAGCCATGTTCGCGGCGGGCTTGACTACAGCAGGAGAGGCATGAGCGCCTGCGCCAACGCACGCTTTCTTGGCCTGCGGGGGGAGGTCTGATGGAGCAGGCTTGTCTCCGCTCGTGGCTGTGCACGCTTTGGCTCCTGCGGACGTCTGCGTCTGAATAGGGGCTGCTGCGGCCTTGACGTCGGCCGAGCCTTCGCCTTTCGCGGACTCTCCAGCGGACGGTGTACCCGATGCTCCTGGCTCGCGCGGGCTGGGCTGGGCCGTAGGATGCTTCGGCGTCGAGGCCTTATCGAGGACGGCAGCGCTGCCTTTGCCGGGGTCCTTCTCGTCGATGGTGGATGACATCGTCGGAAGTCGGTGCTGGCGCGAAGATGGTGGGAAAGCGGGAGGGGCTGGCCGGAACGAGCTCAGCAGCAAGGTATGCTGCATATATAGCCTAATCAGCGCACGGAAGATGGCTGGAGGGCGGGACAGAGCGGGGCAGGAGGTTTCTTCGTGGTGGTACAAGAACAAGAAAAAAAAAAGCAGGGGCCCCAAGGATGCAGTCTGGAGGGCGTGGGGGGGCCGAGCGCTGCGCCCCGACGTTCGTGAATGTATGCCGCGCAGCGATGCTGGCGCTGCAGGTGTGAACAAGCAAGCGGGCAGCCAGGCTTGGTCCGAGCCTTTGCCGATATGAGGCCCGAGCGTGGGTGGCCCGCTGCTGGCCTTTGTCGCCCTGCCCTCTCGACCGACGAGCAGTCGCAGCATGCACCACACACGGCATCATCGATAAGCGTCTTGTTTTGATATCAAGCTTTATCGCTGCCACACGTTGAGCCCGACCCGGGCTCTCTACCAAGCCCTCGACTTCGTTTCCTCTTGCTCAGCGGCGATAGCAACACGGTAGGGCGAGGCTCAGTCTTGGCACGAACCCATAGCGGAGTAAGTGGTCCTGTTGAGGGTAGTTGGACACGTCAACCTCGGCGGCACCTTGGCCGAGACTGTCTTCATTCAATTGAGCGACATTGGAGTGCTTCTGCTCTGCTTCGACAACAGAATCACGACCGTTCGCCTTCACCCTCCGCTCGCGCTACGCCTCCAGAGCCCTCGATGGCCAGCCTCGTCCGCTTCGGCTCTGGGAGCGAAAAGGTCGGGCGCTCGTCCTTGCACTCGACTCTTTTGTGGCCACGCTCGCCGCAGCGCCTGCAGCGCTGCCAGATGCAGTCGACATTGGTGTGCGGCTCGCGGCTGAGGCGACAGCTGCAGCAGAGGTCCGGCCGGTCGATGAAGCTCAGGCGGTGTTCGAAGCCACGGTAGAGCAGCCAGCCGGGCAGCGAGAGGAAGTCGTGCTTGTCCTTGTACGTCGCCAGGATCGTGAGCTTGCGGCCAAGGGCGCAGCTGCCGTCAGAGTACCGCACGTACTTGGCCCAGATGCGGTCGACCGCCAGGTAAGTGCCGAGGGCCGATTGGAAGCACCTGAGGAAAGCCGCAAAGTCGGTCGTTGGCGGCAGACCATCGACGCTGAGCACCGTGGTTCGAAGCCCGAGCGGTCGACACGACGACACGAGCCACAACGCGGTGTCGTTAAACGTCAGACCAAAGTCACGACCTGCGGTCCACGACTCGAGGTCGCCGTACGTGATGTCGACGTAGGCCTCGTTGAATGTGGTCGGGAAGATGATTGCCGGCCTTCCGACATTGACGCCTTTCGCCGACGCCTGCCGCACAATCTGTCGGTGGAAGCTGCATCGCGCCCAGCCCTCCTCTTCCTCGTCAGCCGGAGGGTCGCAGGCGAAGCGGTAGCGATGCGTTGCCAGAGGAGTAGGGAAGGCATAGTTGAGTCGTGGAAGCTCCTCGAACGCGATGGACGTTTCTTGCGACGGCCAGATGGAATGATGGAAGGCATCGCCTTCTTCGAAGTCCGGGTAGGTCAGCGCAGCAGGCTTGACCACATCGGTGGCCACGCTTACATGGCCAGACTCCTTTGCCGTGCTTTCCTCGGCCCTCTTGGGAGCAGTACCGCCTGCGCCGACCTTGTCGACCTCGGCTTCTCCGGAGGAAGCCGAGACCTTGGTGGCTGGACTGTCAAGGGGGGTATCGGTGGTGCGCGTCGACGGGGCTGGGACGGTGGTCGTTTGATGCCCTCTTTCCTTTGCGCGCAGTGCGTCCTGAGTCGCAGGGCCGGCTGTGGCGACCTTTTGGGCCTTCGGTGACTGCGAGGGAGCCTGCTGAAGGCCGACGGAGTTGCTGCTATGCCTTGCCGCGCCAATCGCCGCGGGTTGGCATGGGCTCGCCTGGGCGACTTGCGTGTAGCTGGGTGGCGGGGCCTTCTTCGGCTCGTGGCTGGCGTCGGAGCGATGGGGTGCAGCTGCTGGTAACGGCCTGATCGGTCTGCCTTGCTTGTCGAAGTAGTACTCAACCGGGCGATTGGCAGAGGCAAATGGGCTCGCAGGTTGGCAATTCCAGGAAGACATGGTCGAAACAGGAGGTAGGGGGGGATGGTGGGTCGGGAAGCAAAGGGGGATCGGCAGACGACCCTTTAGGACCTTATATACACGACTCCTCGTCGTCATCTTCGCGGCCTTCCCCCACCTCGGTGATACGCCCATAAACATCGTGACAACGACCTTGCCTTTGTCCGATTGGGCAGCGGGGAACTTTCGAAAGTATTGAAAGAACACAGTCTGGTTGACACGCAAGGAACCGCAGTCAGCTTCTCGATAGAGACCACGCGGCCACGGCCTTGCGTCCAATGTGCTTGGACGGGTCGACTGCCAGGCTTCTCAGGTACGCCGGGGGCTCCCGGCACGCGTAGATGCCCTCCGTCGTGGCGTACGAGATCGCCTCGTCGACCAGGGTCTTTGCGCTAGAGGTATAGCCCGTCAGCAGCGGGCATCGGCTCCCGCCGCACGGAGACCGGCCTGCCCTGCGACACGTCGGGCAGCCGCCCCGATCAAGGCGGCTGGAGACACACTCGTCCGCGCTATGGCCGATGCGGCCGCAGCGGTGGCAGTTGGGAGGTCTGTAGGCCGCGTGGTGGGGCTCAAGCATCGAGCTACGTAGTCGCCCCGGCGGCTCAGAGGTCACCCATGTCGCCAGCTTGCCCCTCATCCTCCATGCTATCAGCGGATCCGGGTACGTGACCTTGACCTTGACGGTTCGGCCCAGATCGCCTTTAAAGCCGTCCTGGATGATCCGAGCTGCGTAGGCCGGCTTCTCCATAGGGACCCCGGCGAAGCCCAGCTGGATGCTGGTCGTGGTGGTGCGCTTTGATACCTCCACGGTCGCAGACAGATGGCTGAGGGGATGATGTGGTCCCTCGAGGCCAGGCACGGGGCAGAGGACAGGGTCCGAAAAGCCGACGAGGGCGATCCATCTGTCGACCATGACCAGGGCCGTATAGAGGTGGGCGCTGTCGGAAAAGGTGATCTCGACCTCGTCCTTCGCGTCGCCAGGCTGCGGAGCCTCGCGATAGGCGATGCTGGCGATGTGGACGCCTTTGAACAGCTCGCCTGCGAGGTCGGCGCGGGCCTTCGGCGGAGTCATGGCCGTCGCCAGGCCCGAGAAGCTGATTGTGGGTCCTTGACCACGCGGCCATTCCCCCCTTCCCCCGACGCGGATCGAGAGACCGGTGACGTGTCTTCCGAGCCGAGTCACCGACGAGGGACCAGGCGGAAGCATCTCGGGGTCCTCGACAGGCACCGCCGGGGGCTCCGGCTGCCTTGCGATCAGGTCGGCGTCGGTCAAAGGTGTCCACGCTTCGCCCCGCGGTTCCCTGGGGAAGAGGAGACCTGGCCTGCTCCTCAAGCGGTCCAGGTCCTGCTTGAACGCCCAACCGACGGGGCGCACACCCTCAGCCGCCCGATCGGCGATGAAGGCGGCGTCGTAGCTGCGCCCCGTGAATGCCCGGAAGATGCCAGCTTCTGATGAAAAGCCCGCCACGGGTTTAGGGTAGAGCTTCTGAAAGCGTCCCGTCCAGAATTTGCTAGAGACCGCTTGGCCCCGGAGCTCCGACACGGCCTGGTTGATGAACGGTACCCACTCAAGGAAGCGAGAGCGCTCAAGCGCCAGCCGCAGGTCCGGGTCGATCGATTCGTCAAGGTGGCGGATAAAGTCGATGACCATGCGCAGAGCGTCTTCTACGGCCGACTTGTAGTCGCTGCTGAGCGCACCGTCGCGCCTGACGCCCTCGACGGCGTTGCCGATGCGAGTGACAAAGGTCGGAGCCGACATCGGGACGGTCTTGGTAGCCCGGGCGAGCTTGTCGGCTAGCACTTGATTGGCGCCGACGTCCCCCTTGGCAGCTTTGATGGGGTCCGTGTGTTTGCGCAGCCATCGGAGAGCCTTGCCCTTGAGCCAGTATTCGCCGTGGTTGCCAAAGATGGGCGGGTAAAGGGCGGATTTGCCCTGCAGCGCAAGGATGAAGTGCTTCTTGGCGACCTCGAAGATGGGGCGACCGCAGTCTTGGGCCGCTCGCGAGGCGAGCAGCGTGTCCCTGTCCCTCATCACTCTGGCATCGAGGTCGGCAGCCTTGTCGAAGGCACGGCGATCGGGAGCCTCCTCCATGTGGGAAGCGACACGATAGGGTTTGTTGTCGACGTGGTAGAAGGGGCGTTGGAAAGAGGCTGCCTCGACGTCGTCGCTGCCATCATCGCTGAAATCGTCGCCGCTCTCGTCGTCGTTCTCCTCGTCTTCGTCGACCTCATCGTCGTCGAACGACTCTTCGGTCTTAGTGCTAAACTCGACGTGTTTCTTGTCGTCGTCGTCGTCGTCGTCGTCACTGCTGTCGTCGACGAACGATTCTATGATCTCACTGCCAGAATCGGTGGCGCATCCGCCGCGGCAAATGACGACTGTGGGATCCGGCGTGCCAGCGTCGGAGGAGCCGTCCAGGTCGATGGGGCACTCGTAGCTCCCAATGACGATGACTCTTGGCGGAGGCTCCGGCGGATCGCTGCTGATGACGATGATCGAGCTGCTAGGGCTCTCTCGTCGGGTGCTGTACGTTGCCCCGGCGTACCGACGAGGCGGACTGTAGAGTCTCGTGCGGCCGAAGCTTCTCGGGGGGCGCTCGGTTTGGGGCTTGAGCCGTTTGCGACGATCTTCAGATGTGGAAGGCTGCTCCAGATGTTGATCTTCCGGGGAATCTGCGGGCCTCTTGCCCCTGGCCCGCTGCAAGGTCGCGTCGCTCGTCTCGTCTTCAGACTCCGGCTCTGATCCGAACACGTCGGTCAGAGCACTCTGCACGGAATCGTCCCCATCACGACGGGCCAGGATGCGCTCGACTTCGGCCTCCTCGAGAACACGCCGGGGCGTCTCGAGTCCGTCTTCGTCTCGTTCGAAAGAGCCGTCGATGTCGGCACGGTGCTCGGCCCCTTGATCGAGGAACAGAGCCGTGCGGTCGGGGCTACGGGGTTGGGAAGACATGACGTAGACGTGGTCAGGATAGAGATGGTGAGGGTCGAAGGGACAGGCTTGACGACGATTGTTCCGCTCTACTTAAACCTTTGCAAATCTCCCGGCCGCAGTGGCAAGCGAGGGGAGGCTTGGACAACCTGTCAATCCGCTCATCGAGTACATGTCGACAAGCTCGTCACGGGAGGCAGCCCATCTCTTGGACCGTTCACGCTCTCCCGGGCTGGCCGTCAAGCTGCTGTTACGTCGCTCGTTGAAGGGCCCGACCGTCGTTTCGGAAAGTAAAGGCAAGGTCTCGAGTTCCGTTCCATAAAGGCAGAGGTACATACAAATCGCTGCAAACGATGGCGGCAGAGAAGGGATCCGAGCGTCGCTATGCTTGCGCTATGCCTTCTTTTTGGCATCGCCGCTCCCTCCGCCGAACTTGAATGCGTCCCTGTGCTTGGAGATTCTATCGGCGGAGTTGGCGAAGCTCTTTTGGGTCTTGTCCTGGTGCGCAGGCATTGGTTGACGTAGCGGAGCGGACGGATGGCAGATGGGGGAGAGGGGTCGTTCAGCGGACGAGAGCGACGAGGGTCGTGACCGGGGGAGACAAAGGCGGCGCGCGGACTCACGATGTACTCCTGCTGCGACATTGCTCTGCGGTCCGACTTGACCGAGAGGCCGGACGAGGAGAGGTTGATGCCGCGTTTCTGCAGCGTCCCGACGCAAAGACAAGGATGGATGAGAGCGATGACAGGTGAGCGACGAGAGCGTCGACAGGCGACGACGACGGCGTCTGTGCGACGGGCGGATGCGCACCTTGAGCGCCTCCTGGCTGTCCTTGAAGCTGCGGCCGCCCTCTTGCCCTGGCTTGAGGGCGTAGACGAGGCCCGCGACGATGGCGAGCACGACGACGAGGAAGATGTAATCGGCAGTGGATGCCATCGTGTTTCTCTCCGTCTGTCGGTGGGTCGAACGATGTCGTTGGGGTAAGCCTTCTGGCAAGGTGGATCGAGCGGTCGTGGTGGGACAGGTAAGGCGGGCCGGAAGCTTTTTGGCGGTGTGCGCATGCACAAAGCGCGGGCGTGCAGACGGCGTTCCGGCGGTCCAAGCGCAGCGCTGCGGGCGCTTCGTCTGTCTGCCTGTCCGCCTGTCCGGCTGTCCTCCTTCCTGCCTGCCTGCCTGCCTGCCTGCCTGCCTTTTGCCGCTCGTTTGTGGAGGCAGCCCGGCTGGTCCTGCCAGATCCAGACGAAGGCACGCACGCACGCTCTCACGCACACACCCGCGCACGCCTCTCTCTTCTGGCACGCCCGCTTCGGCGGATGCTCCTTCGGTCGGTTCCGACGGGCCAGCCCAGGCCATTGAGCGGCCCGCCCGATCGGATCTTTTCGACCGAAGAGATGGAGGATCGTCCACGCTGACATGCACGCACGCATCCGCCCCCTCGCCCGCCGGCCTAGCCGCATCGGCCAAATCCCGCCCCCATGCCGCGAACGTACGGCGTTCGCTGAGCGAAGCAGCGCAGCGGCAGTCGAGGTTTCTCCGCGTGGAGGTGGCCGATGGGATTTCGCTGCTCCTCGTACGGCCGCCGCGGCGACCTCCTACGTCCTCTTTGGGCCGTATTCGCTCACATCCTTGGTGGAGCGCTGGTGGCCACCGCGTGGACACACACACACACACACACGCCCTGGCTTTGATTGCGGATGTGCCGACGGCAGACCCTGTTCCGCGACCGAGCTTCGGCATCGATCCGCTCAGATGGACAGAGCAGATAGAGTCGCATCTTGGGCTCGGCGTCGAAGCCGGCTGAAACGACGGCCTTCTCTGCTCTGCGCCGTGGCCGCCGTCGTCGTCTGACGCTTCGGCCCCATTCCGCCTCCGCCGATGCCGTCGTGAGTTCGCAGCAGCGTAGCGCAGACTCCTGTGACTCCGGGAGGCTGAGTCTGCACCACCATGCCCAACACGGCCACCGGCTCCCCCTCCCTCTCGCCCATCGATGTGGACCTGGCGCCCCATCCCACCCGTCGAGTTCCGCCCAATCCCGCCGCCGCCGCCATCGTCGCAGCAAAACAAGACTGCACTCTCCGTGACTCGTCCATCATCAATCTACCTTTGACGCCTAACCTTGAGCTCCCCTGCGCTACCTCATAGCTCACACGACCACACAGACCCGACAACGCCAAGCCCGGAGAGCATCGCCAACCTTCCTTGTGCCCGGCTGGTCCGGATCACCGTCCAGCGACTGCGTCGGCCCTCTTCCATCGGCTAGCTCCCGGCGTCATGACGGCGCCAGCCGAAGGCCATATCAACGACGGACCATCTGCGCCATCCCCGGTCGATGCAGCTGCAGCGCTCTCGTCCAGCCCTACCAACAGCAGCACCCAGCCACCTTCCATACCCTCGCAAATAGACATGGAGCCGCGCTCTTCGCACGACACCCGCATCGACTATGACGGCCAGCCATCCCCTCGCTCCGACCCAAGGCCCCTAGACCAGACTCAAAGTCACGAGAGCAGAAGCTCGCACGACTCGCACCATGACGACCACCACGGCACCACTGTCGCACCGACGCCCGACAGCCGCACCGAGGCAAAGGTCAAGCTGTCGGACCAAACCAACTACCTCCCGAGGAAGCAGGTGAGTTGTCCCGTGCCGCGCCGTCGGCGCCTCGAAGCTGGATCGTTGCTGATGATGCGGCCATCCCTTCTTCGTCGCCGCCACCGCCGCCGCTCGGCCCACAGGTGATTCTCGTCTTCGCCGGCCTGTCGTGCGCGCTCTTCATCGCGCTCCTTGACCAGACCATCGTCTCGACGGCTCTGCCCACCATAACCCGCGCCTTTGGCGCCGGCGCCGACGCGTCCTGGCTCTCGACGTCGTACCTGCTGACCTCTACGGCAGTGTGCCCGCTCTACGGCCGCTTCTCGGACATCTTTGGGCGCAAGGTGTGCATGGTCTTTTCCCTCAGCCTCTTCCTTGTCGGCTCGATCCTCTGCTCGGCCGCGCAGAGCATGACGCAGCTCATCGTCTTCCGCGCCATTGCGGGAGTCGGCGGCGGCGGCATCATCACGCTCGTCATGGTCATCGTGAGCGACGTCGTCAGCCTCCGCGAGAGGGGCACGTACCAGGGCGTGCTCGGCATGGTCGTCGCCATCTCCAACTCGGGCGGCCCGCTGGTCGGAGGCGCGCTGGCGAGCGCCAACTGGCGACTGTGCTTCATCATCGCGATCCCCATCATCGTCCTCGCCCTCGTCGCCGTCATCCTCCTGCTGCCCCTCAAAAAGGTCGAGGGCAGCGTCAGGTCCAAGCTGGCCAAGATCGACTACCTCGGCGTCGCCCTCGTCCTCGCCGGCACCGTGCTCATGCTCCTCGGCCTCAACTGGGGCGGCCAGACGTTTCCCTGGACCGACGCCCGCGTCCTCGGCACGCTCATCTCGGGCGGCGTCCTGTACCTCGTCTTCGCCTACGTCGAGGCCAAGGTGGTGCCGCTGCCGCTGGTGCCGATGCGCCTCTTCCGCAACCGCACCGTCGCCTCGGTGCTGGTGCAGACGGCCTGCTCCGGCGGCATCTTCTATCTGCTCCTCTTCTTCGTGCCCCAGTACACCCAGGTCGTCAAGGGCTTCTCGGGCATCCTGGCGGGCGTCTGCCTGATCCCGCTCATGGCGCTGCAGGCGGTGACGAGCACGGCGGCGGGCATCCTCGTCTCCAAGACGGGCCGGTACAAGGCCTTTATCGTTGGCGGCTTCGCCATCTTTTCCGTGGGCGTCGGCCTCCTCGCCCTCCTCGACGTCGACACGCCCACCGGCGAGGTTATCGGCTTCCTGATCCTCGCGGGCTTCGGCGCCGGCGGCACGCTGCAGACGACGCTCGTGGCGGCGCAGAACGCCGTCGATCGGAAGGACCTGGCCGTAGTGACGTCGACGAGAAACTTTACCAGGCTCTTTGGCGGAGTGCTGGCGCTGGCGGCGAGCTACACGATCCTCAACAACTCGGTGCGCAACCACCTGCGGGGCGTCGACGAGTCCGTCATCCGCCAGGTGATTTCGGACCCGACGTCGATCCGGACCGGTCCCTTTTCGGCGCAGCTCCGCGAAGAGCTGCTGGCCGCGTACGTGGCGGCGTTCCGCAACGTCTTCTACTTTGGCCTCGCCATGATCCTCGTCGCGTTCCTGCTGACGCTCTTCTTCCTCGAGGAGCTGCCGCTCGACAAGGCCGACGACAAGCAGAGAAAGGAGGAGGGCAAGCAGTGGATCGAGGAGCGCAAGTCCAAGAAGCAGGCCAGGAAGCAGGGCCACGATGTCGAGGCGGCACCTGCGGCCGCTGGACGAGGCGAAAAGTAGAGCCAAGCAAGGGTGGGGCGGCGGCGGCGGCAGAAGAGGCGAGGGTCACCACAATCTGTATTTCTATCGAGCATTCCAAAGAGCATGGCCCCCTCCTGTATCCGAAACATACCTCTTGCTTTCGCGTGGCGTGGCGTGACTCGACGAGGCAGCCAGGTGAACCGTGGAGGGCGCCGATGCGTGGTGGGCCTGGGTCGATCACTGCAACGCCGATGTGCGAGGCCAGCCGACCTGGCTCTACAGATAGAGCTCCTCGCCCCTCTCCTCGGTGCGCTCCTTGATCTCCTCGTCGATGTCGTCGATGGTACCAGACGCGCCCTGGCTCCACGCGCCGCCGCTCGTCCATCTGGCCTGGCCGGACCGGGTGCGATCGCCACCGGCGGTGACGGCGTCGAGGCTGCTCGTCTGCCTCCTCGAGAACGGGTTCGAGACGACGCGGGCGCGGTCGGTGGTGCCGTTCCACCCTACGCCGGTGATGCCGAGGGCGGGTGCCAGGACGACGCGGGCAAAGATTTCGCCAAAGCCGAGCATGACGCCGTTGATAAAGGGAAGGCCGAGGTTGATGAAGAGCGAAGAGGTGAGGAGCGCTAACCGCCTCTTGAACGGGATGGCCGAGGACGGCGAGAGCGCGGCGATGGTCAGGGAGCCAGAGGGCGCGTAGTGCGGATCGTTGGTGCGGGACAGGGCCGTGGTCTCGTCGTCGTCGTCGCCTTCCGCGTCGGACCCATTGGCGTCACCGTGGCGCGAGCCGGACTCGAAGCCAAGCTCGGAAGGGGCCGAGCCCTCCTCTGCGTCCTTTTCGTCCTGCTCCTTGGCGCCTCGTTCGTCGGCGTGGCGCGGGATGATGCGGGGCATCCCGGTCGCCGAGACGGTCGGGTTGGTCTCGGTATCGCCGGCATGGCTGGCCGACGTGGTGGGCTTCTGGCGCTCGCCCTCGTCCGAGTGGTGGAAGAGGTGCGGGCTTCCCGCTGTGCCTGGCTGCGAGTCCGACATGTTGAACGTGAGGTGCAGGCGATGCTTGCTCGAGCCGAGATGGGCCGAGGTGCGGCTAGTGTGCGAGAGGTTGGTTTTCGACGTCGCCGATGCTTTGTTGCTCTGGCAGCGCGAGAAACGAGATGATGCTGCTGGTCAAAGGGTCGCTGTCGCTCTGCTCGGGACGAAGGCCGCTATTCTCGAGCGGAGTCGTGTGACGCAGCTCGTCTGGCTTGCTCGAGCTGATGTTTCGAACCGGTGACGGGTGCGCCGAGTGATGGTGCGGGTACTCTGCCGGGACCGGAGTGGAATCGGAAGGAGCCGACGTCTGGGCCTGGCCGGGTCGATGCAGGGGTCTGAGAGCGGGCTTCTTGAGCAAGTCAGGCGTAGAGATTGCAGAGACGGCGACGGCGGCGGCGTTGAGAGGTTTGTCCTGCGAACGAGAGCGAGGTCGAGGAAGTGGTGTAGGGGTCGAGGCAGCAGCCGAGACGGCGACGCTCGACATCTGGTCCAGTCGCTTGGGCGCCAAGCGTACGTGGATGGCCTCAGGCGGCAGCTGGCTGTTGCTCCACTTTGACGCTCGTCGAGCTCGGCTCCGCACCCTTTTGGCTCTCGGAGCAGGTTAGGGTGGCTGCAGTTGAGCGCAGTTGAGCGGCTGCCGATTCGGGAAGACTGGAGTGGTGCCGTTGCCAGCAGGGGATCATGGTCGGGTCGTCAAAGGAGCCGTTGCTGGCCGCAGCGAGGAGGCAACCCCACCACCATCACACCTGCCATCGAGGCGCTCGGTCGTCTGCCTCGATAAGAGCACGCAGGCGATAAGGCAGCTAACACCAGGCAGGCGTCGCGCGCACAGGCCTGGCATGGATGATGGCAGGCAGGCCGGGCTGCCCGAGGTCGAGCCAGGCTGGACCCTGCGCCAGCCAGCCAGCCCGCGCTCGCTGCACCCTGGCCGGCCTGCCTGCCTGCCTGCCTGCCTGCCTGGCTGCCTACCTAACCCCGCCCCGCCGGCTCAGCCTTCCGGCAATGCCTTGCGGGTCTGGCAGTCGGCTCTACCCTCGCCGCCACCACCGCCCTGCCCTCCCTCCTTCATCCCTTCGCCTCTTCGGCACCCTCCCCCCTTCGGAACACGATCCATTCGCCACCATGACGGAAGGCCGCGCCGTCACTGCCGCCGCCTCTTCGTATCCACCTCCGCTCGTCGATCTGCCCGTCGAAGTCTTCCATGCGATCCTCTACCTCCTCCCGCCCGCCGACATTGAGCATCTCGCCCAGTCCTGCAAGCTGATCCGGTACTCGATCTACGGACACCACGGCAACGGCCACGCGCAACTCTGGGCCGCAATTTTCCGCCTGCACTGGGATCCTCAGCCGCTCGAAAGCGACGATGCCGCAGCCGAGCGCTGGACGGCGCCCTTGCGCCTGATCCGAGAGCGAGAGGCGGCAAAGCGCAGCCTCGACCGCGCCGAGTTCGACGAGACCGTCGTCGTCAAGCGGTACAACGATGTCCTCGCCGCCCTCCTCGACGCCGCAGAGAGCCGCGCTCACGACGGCCGCAACGCCGCCTGGCTGGACAGCCTGGCCAATGGCAGCAGCCATCCGACGCCATGGGAAAGGTGGATCTACCCACGCTCGCGGCCCGAACACCTCGCATCGTGGAAGCAGGCCGTTGCAATGTATCCGCAGGTCTACACCGAGCTCGACTCGGCATCCGAGCGCAGCCGGGCAAAGCGGCGCAAGACGGCGACGGAGCCGTCCGTCGACTCTGAGGGCAGCTCCGCAGCCGCGTCGACCTCACCTCCCACGGCAGCGGCGCAGAGCGCCAGCACGGCGACGGCCTCGAGTGCTGCTAGACCCAGCAGGCGGCGCTCGCTTAGGATCCTCAAGCGCTCCTTGCCCGACTGCCTCCAGAGCGTTGTCGACGATGGCGCCGAGCACGACGCCGTCGCGCCAGATACCGAGCTGGCGGCCCACCTCCACTGCCTGCACGGCCCTCGATCGACCTTTAGGTACGGCGCCGCCGCCCGTGCTGCCGCTCGGAGGCGGGTCTACGACGCCGGCTGGACCGGCTGGGAGAACGGCTACGGGCCCTTCCACTTCTATCGCCGGAGGGATCCCGCTGCGCGCCATGATGGTCCCGACGACGCGGATGACGACGACGACGGCGACGACGACGACGACAGCACCGACAGCGAGGATATCAATCCCGATCCGGTGCCAATCTTCTTGGAAGAGAGCAGCGACGACGAAGCGCTGGACGAGGGCGATGTCGAGAGCGACAGCTCCTCGGAGATTCACCGCGCCTATCAACGAAGAGTGGTCGCGAACATCGACCGGGACCTCAATGATTTCGGTTCGGAAGACGGCCATGACAGCGACGACGACGACGACGGTGGCGACGCCAGTTTCCACCAGACATCCGATGCGCCCGGCTCTGGCGAGGGGCAGGTCCCGATCGAGTTTGGCCGAGACAGGAACGGACGCGGCAGGGGAAGGCCCCATGGCGATGGCGAGGGTGAAGTCAATGACGATGACGATGGCAATGGCAATGACGGTGGCGACAACGACGATGAGGTCGACGACGATGATGACGACGAGGATGACGACGATTTCGACCTCGACGGCTTCATGGACCCGATGGGCCTGCGGGAGCTGCTCCGGGGCGGCCTCGTGCGCAACCACACCGGCTGCTATGTCCGCGACCAAGCAGACGCCTACCACCAGAAGCTCGTCGACGAGGGCAAGAGGGAGCCGTTGCCCGTATCGGATGGCGCGGAACAGGCGCAGGGCGAGGGCGAGGGCGAGGGCGAGCGGTTGCCCGCAGCCACCGTGCTCTGCGGCAAGCGCATCGACTGGAAGACGGTTGAGGCCATCATGATCGTCATGCACGCCAACCTCGAGGAGGCGAGGACGATGAACTGGGGCCTCGGCCTGCAGCTGCCCAAGAAGACTGACTCGACGACCGGCGCGACCGTCGATCCGATGGCAGACAAGCGGCTGCTCGGCATCCCGAGCGGCTGGTCGACGAGCCTGGGCGATCGCCCCGGCTCCCTGGCCGACTCTCCCAACTTCAAGCCTTACGACTGGGCCCGCGTGGAAGGCTTCTGGGCGGGCAGCTACGGTGAGTCTGACGTGCTGGCGTGGCAGCTCGATCGCGGCCATGACTGCCAGACGGCTGACGCCTCGACTGTCATCTGCCCGCTTGTCGACGACGACCGCCGCGCAGCGTTTCTGGACTACTCGGTGTTTATCGCGTCCAATGCCGGATTCGCGCAGCATCGGGCGGCGCTGATGAACTGGGCCAACGCCAAGGGCCAGCCCGAGTCGAACGGTACCAAGGCACCGCGCAACGGCCGTGCGGCCGAGGCAGCGCCGGTGCCGTGCCTGGCGGGCGTGAGCGACAGCAAGCACCGGTGCGAGCTGTGTCTCGTCCTGCCGACGCTGCAGAGCACCGAAGAGGCGTTTGGCGACCTGCTCCAGATCCGCATGGGGCTGCTGCCGCTCCCGGGCCAGACGCTCGGCACCGGCGGCGAGCAGAGGCCAAGCGACGAGCCAGCTGAGGAGCAGTGCGACGGCAGGTACCCGCCCCTCCGGTTCCGGGGCATGACATGTGTGACGGGATCCGACCAGACGCGCGCCACCATCCACGGCACGGTGCGACCCATCTATGGTCCGCGTCGGGGCGCGCCTCGGGCCGGCGGCAGCGGTGACGGGTCGAGACGGATCGAGGGGATCCACTGGTCCTTTGTCCACGGCTACGAGGGCGAAGACCGGTGGCAGTCGGAAGCCATCCAGCCGGGTCCTCCGGGCACGCGGGCGCCCATGTACGCCATCTGGACCGATGCGGGCCACGAGCGCAACAGCCCAAACGGGCCCGCGGCCTACTGGCGCATGGACGAGCGGCCCTGGAAGGAGGTGCGCGAGCTGCTCGCCGACGAGGCGAGGCAGCAGGCGCGCGAGCGTCGCTGAGCGCCCTTTGCCCTCGGGTCGCGGACGTGGATGCGCCATCGAGCTCGTCCTGTCCGATGGAGTGGGGTGGTGGGACAGAAGGTGGTGAAGCTAAGAACGAGGGCGGAAGGGAGGGCAGGGGCAAGGTGAGATAGGATCGCGGATCTTCGGTCTCTGTATTCATCGGTGGTAGAGTAGTGTCGCGCGGCGACGACCGAGGAATGGACATTTTGGGCCCCTTCATGGGCGGTTTCCCAGTGGCCGCCGTCGTGTCATGATGACGCGGCGGCTGCTATCGTACCATCGGCTTGTCGTTTTCGGCTCGGCTTGGCGGTGGCGCGCTGGGCCGATCAAGATGGGGTGATTGCCAACCTCGATTTGCCGAGCGAGGTCGAGGAGCCGCTATGCGCATCGAGGCTGACCTGGCACCAACGGTCCATGAGCCAGGTGACTGACCAGGTTCCTGTTGATCCCGCAAAGAGGGCCGCGTGTCCGTCAGTGTCGTCAGTGTCATTGTCATTTCTCTCACACCACCCGGGAGGAGAAAGAGAGGAAGTAAGGCGCTGGGGACGTACCTTCGACCGAGGTCCAGATGCTGAATCGATCCTCGAGGATACCCTGGACCGTATGCGTTTCCAGCACCTTGGGACGGCTGTGCGTATCCGCCGGTTCGGTACGTTGGTACGTAAACGAGAAGGGCGCCTCGCCGACCAGGTCAAAGATGATTTCCGCTTGGTTGCCTGCAGATGCGGACGGGATCGTCGCGAAGAAGGGGGTCAGGTCCGAGTCAGTCTGTCTGTTCTGTCTGGACAGAGGTGGCATTCTCGCTCGTTTCCCCACGGAGAGGAGAGGGACGGCATTCCGTCGACGCAGCAAGCCGTTCTCTCTCTACTCACCCTCTCTCAGATCCTCGACGTAATGCCGCCCCTCGGACACGCGCACCGAGGGAAGGTCGTGGATCGTCTTGACCATGCCCTCGACCTTGCCCTCGTCGAGCAGGGTGCGGCACTGGTTCTGCTGGTGCGCCACGCTCTTGATGCGCAGCGTGCCCGGCCGCTCGGCGACGCGCGCAAACTCGGGCCGCCGCGACACGGCGCGCGTCGTCTTGCCCTCGAAGTCGTACGTCACCGTCCACGGCGGCGTGCCCTGCAGCACAAAGTCCACCGACTCGCCCACGCAGTAGTCGTCGCGCGTCGACGAGGCAGAGATGCCCGCCGTCTCGGCCACCTCGAGCTCGATTCTCGCCGAAGCGGGCACCGCGCGGCCGGCGCTCAGCGGCGCAAACTCGCACCCGTGCGCGTCGCGCACCCGCGTCACCTGCAGTGTCCACTTGCCCGTCGTCTCAAACGTAAAGTCGCTGCGCGGGATGCGCAGCCGGTAGTCGTGCGTCGTGACGTCGGATCGCACAATCGTCTTGACGTGGCTGCGCGATCCTCCCGCCGCCGCCGCCGATGCCGATGCCGACGAGCGCGACGTGATGTCGTGCAGCTCAAACTCGACGGTGAACGGCGGCGTGCCGCTCAGCCGCACCGTGGGCTCGAAGCCGCCGCTGGCTTTGCCGTCGTGCGTCTTGCCATCGAGGCTGTCGCCGATGCAAAACGACGGCACCTTGCCGCCGTGGACAAAGCTCGCCGAGGGCAGCGGGTAGACCATCTGCTCGAGCCGTCTCGGCGCATCGCGCGGGAAGCCCTGCAGCGCCGCGGGCGGGTACGCCGTGTCGCCGACCGACTCGATCGTGTACGTGTGCCAGCCGGGCGTCAGGGTCGACAGCTCCAGGTTGCTGACCGTCTGCGCAGAGGTGAACGAGTTGCGCCGGCGCTTGCCCTGCGAGGCAATCTCGCCAATGGCCGAGCCGAGCGCCTGGGAACCGTCGACGTCGGCGCCGCCAGACCACGAAGGGGCCTGGTGCTCGTAAGCGATCTGCAGGGGGAAGTTGCCCGTCATGCGGACATCGACGGCGTCTGGACGTCCCTGGCAGACGGGAGCGCGCACGACGGATCCGTTCCGGACGACCTGGCCGGCATCCTCGACAAAGTGCACCGCGGGCCTCGAGCGGACGTGAACGTGGTACGACTCCTGGTCGGCGAGCACCGAGCCGGGACAGTACGCATCGCGGATCGACTTGATCGTGTACACGCCCGGGCGCCTCGCCGGGATGGCGGCGGAGCTGTCCGACAGCTGCAGCGTCTCCTCTTGCTCGGGCGAGCTCTCGTCGGCCCTCCAGGAGTAGGTGACCGTCCAGGGCCCGTCGCCCTCGAGGCGCAGCGGCAACCGCGTCTGGCGGCCATCGAGGATCTCGACCTGCCTGCGCGTGTCGTAGGTGACGGGCAGGAAGCCCACCGTCGACCTCGCCTTGCGGATCTCGATGTTGAGGTCGCTCGTGGCCAGCTGACGCTCGCAGCCCTTGGCGTCGCGGATGCTGACCAGGCTGACAGTGGCCCGGCCGCCGGCCTCGACGAGTTCGGGCGCGAGCTCAAAGTCGAGCGTATGCCTCGGGCTTGTGAGCTTCTTGACCTCCTTGGTCTCGGAGCGGCCCGCGCCTCGCACAATGTAGGTGAGGTCCCAGGGCCCGGTGCCGCCCAGCTCGACGTCCGCCTGCGCCCGGTTGCCTGCGCAGCTGTGGACGACGATGGGCTGTCCGGCCGATCTGCCATGGCTGGCCGCAAAGCGCGCCGTCGCCAGAGGGTGGACGTCCTGGGTGAAGCTGGGGCCGTCGAGGATCATGTTGCGGTAGTTGGCGTCGTGCAGCTTGAGGAACCGGTAGGTGACGGGGCCCTCGGTGTTTGGGCGGAACTCGAGCTCATCGCGGGTCTGCATGATGCGGCGTCGGATGGGGTGCGACCTCTCGCCGTGACGCCTGACCTCGTACTCGAGCTCAAACGGCGGGCTGCCGGTGAGGATCGACAGCGCCTTGACGCCGACGGGGCCGGCGCAGCGGTCCTCGATGCTGGAAAACGAGATCTTGGCGGTGGGCGGCGGCACGTCGATGACCTCACAGGTCCAGGGCGACTCGACCTCGCCGGTGCAGTACCTGCCGCGCGCCTTGCCGATCCTGTAGGTGCCGGGCGCGCTGACTTGGACCTGGGCGATGCCCGCGCCGCTCTCCATCGTCAGCGGCCGCACCCACGGCGTGGCCGGCGCTCGCGCTAGCGGGTCCTGCCCGGCAGCGCTGTTGTCCGGATCAAAGTGCAGGTCGACCTCCCACGGGCCCGACTCTCGGTCGCCGTCGTTGGCCAGCAGGGAGACGTTGAGATGGCTCTGGGTCCGCAGCATCTTGATCGGGTAGCCCGGCTGGCAGCTCCTTGCGCTGAAGGCAAACTTGGCGCGCGGGTGGACGACGACCTGCTGCGACGTGACGGTGGAAGGCACGTCCTTGCCCATGCCCTTGACGAGCTTGCGCTTGACCTTGCTGCCCGGCCCGAGGGATGGCGCGGCCTGACCGTGCGCCTTGACCACATTGCCGCACGCATCCTTGACGCTCTCAAGCTCGTACGTGTAGCGCCCCGCGCGCTCCAGCTCGACGCTGAGCGGGATCGACACCTCGCTCGCGGCGGCCCAGGCGTAGTCCTCGTGCGTGTTGCCGGCACTTCGGGCGGCGGCTCTCGTCCTCTCCTGAGCCAGCGCGATGCGCTCGACGGGAGAAAGGATCGACTCGGCCTCGGGCAGCAGCAGCGGCGAGGCGTGGTGGGGCGAAGAGATCCGCGAGATGGTCTGGACCTCGTCGAGCGGCTCGACGTGGCGGTTGCGGCCGGAGCCCTGCTGCGCCGAGGGCTCCCAGGAGCGTCGGTACTGCAACTCCAACGGAGTAAGGCCCCGGACCTGGACCGCCAGCTCGGCGCTCTCGCCCGGACACTTGTGCGCGGCCTCGAGCCAGTTGGAAGCCTCGGCCACCGCCGACTTTGGCGCGACAAATGTCGACGTCGGGCACTCGACGACGAGCGCCTCCGCAGAAGAGAGTCGGGCATCGTTCCTCGCCTTGTCGAGGACCCTCTCAAGCCTTACCCGACCAGCGCTGTGGACGGGCAGGTGGTAGAGGAGCTGCGTGGCCGCCTTGGTACGGCCGACCGCGCCGGCTGGACCCTTGCGGACGGCGCTCTTTGCGCCCTTTGAGCGCTTGGCCGCCCTCAGCCTGGCCCTTTCCTGGTAGGTGGAGCCTTTGAGGAAGGAGAGAGGCTCGTCGAGCTCGTCCTCGTCGGCGCCCAGGCCCTCGACGTCGTGCTTGCGGTTCTTGGTCGCCGCTGCTGCGGCCACCTGCAGATCCTCGTCCGGTCGCTCCCTGCCAGCCCTGGAGGCCGGCAGCGCGACGAGGTCGGTGACGCTGATGTTGAAGAGCGCCGCTTCGCCGGTGACAAAGTCGGTGACTGAGTACTGAAGCAAGTCGGGCTCGGTGTTGTTGAAGAGGACGGGGATGGTGACCGAGGGCGTGCCAGGACCGACGCAGTAGCACGCCGAGGAGGGAGAAAGTTTTGCGGTGCTGTAGGGTAGGATGTGGACGGTGTGCTGGCCGAGGATGTGGCTCTTTGGCTGCACCAGGTCGCGGATCCTCACGCGGCCCTCGCTGATGCTGAGCTGGCGTGCGAACGCATCGGCGCCAAGAGGTCCAAGGTCGAGCTCGAGCCCTACGAGACTGGATGCCGCCTTGAGGAAGCCGAGGAGGGTGGAAAAGAGCCAGACGACCGGGTTGGCGGTGCCTTGGCCGAGGAGGATCGAGTCGACGAGGACGAGCGAGCCAAAGATGACGGCGTAGCGGGCATAGGTGAGGCCAGGGCCTTGCGATGGGCTGGCCGAGATCGAGGATGTCGCTTGTGCCGGACGCGCGGGTGTCGCGGCGGCGGCAAGACGGGGATCGAGCCTCGGGATGCCGAGGCGCGAGAGGACAAAGAGGACGGTAAAGTCGACGAGGATGGCGGTCGAGAGGCTGAATGCCGAGCTGGCGTCGTCGCTGGTGGAGAAGAGGGCCTTGACCACGTGAGTGTACTTCCAGGCCTGAGTGGCTATTGCCAGGGAGCAGGCGTAGAAACGCTGGGAGGGTGCGTCGATGAAGGAAAGGGGTATTAGTGGCTGGGGGAGGGAGGCGTTGGGTGGTTGCTGCGGTGGTGGTGCCGCTGCCGCTCCGCTCGGGCGGGTCGCCGGGCTGGAGGGAGCTGTGGCGGACATTATGAGGACGGGTTCGGGTGGCTGGTGCGTGGCAGCCGCTGGGTTGTCGGCCGCGGCGGTGCGCCTAGGGCGGCCTGGACCTGCAGTGGCCAGGCTGGCAGGCGACACCGGCGGGCGGGCGAGCAGGCGAGGTGATGCTGTGCTAAGCCCTCGACCTTGATGCACTAGAGGGGGATGTGTGCCGGTGGGCTAGATGACCACTGCAAGTCGCGAAAGCGAGACTGGCAGTCGGAGGCGGGGATGGTGTGGATGGCGAGGGGGGATGTGGTGGTTGCGGGATTGGTGGGAAGACGACAAGGTGGGAAAAAGTTGGGCGCGCGTCACACGGCAGCCAAAAGCGCAGCCAAAAGCGCGCAGCGCAGCGCGGATCCGCGCGGCCTCTTGCAAGGTGGAGGGCACAGAGGGGCGGGCGCACCCAACGTCGACCAACACCTCTTTCTCTCTCTTTCTCTCTCTCTCTCNCNCNTCNCNCNCTCGTCGTCGTCGTCGTCTACGTCGTCCTCGTCGTCGTCGTCGTACTCGTCGTCGTCCGTACCGTACGTCCGTCCGTCGTCCGTACGT